TTGATAAGTGTATCAATATTGGAAGCTTAACTTTCACATCACTTTTTTTGTATGCGTTTAAATGTAATGCTCATATACTTTTTTTTTGGAAAAGTTTTTAGATGTTCCTCCTCTTAATAAATGTGTTTTAAGAACCTACAAAACCAGTAAATCATAACCATAGACACACACTCATCACATATCAAGTTCTTTATGTTATGTGTTTCATAAAAAGTTTGACATTTTAATCTCTAAACTATTTATAAGAGAGGGCTACCACAAAATGTGCTTTTTGTTCCTGTTAGCTTCCTGTTATTTTGTTCATTAACCCGGTGGTTAAATTGCAGGATTAGACACTTGCATAACAGTAAACTATTACTTTGTGGTACATTGACAAAGTTATGGCTTACAGATCAAACGATATGAAAATGTGCATTGTTTCTGTGTTTTCAGTTTGTCATTGTGTTTCTCAAACTGAGGCTCACATTTCCCAATTACTCTGTTAGTTCCTAATTCATACATATGACACTGCAGTGCATTATTTTAATCTTATTTTCACAATAGACAACATTGCATCACCAAACTGCCAATATCGATTTGGAAACGAAACATACTAGAAGGACATACAAAAATAAAATGATGAAAAACTCCTTAAAGTTCACAGCATTGTTTTTAAAAGTTATTCTGCCAGATTGAGCCTTTGGTAATTTATCTATATCGGTGTGGGGGTAATGCCTCATCTGAGAACGCTTCCGCTTCAAAAGCTGCAATAATTGTTGACAGGCAGCCCCTGCTTAAATGTCATCATGAAAATAATAATGTGCTTATCTGTGTTTCTGCCTTTGACATGTGCATTTGTTTAACAATATTTCAACCTAGTTCTACCTCAAATGTAAACAAGTTAAAAGGGCATACATTGTTTTGTTTATAGAGGGCTGTCTTTGTGTTCAATCATGTGCTGCTATTAGAAGTCATTCCTAGAAAGTTCCTCACACACCTAACCTGGCCTCTCCCTCCTCTCTCTCTCTAAATAAATGTAGAAGTGAAGAGAGATACCTCTGACTCCTTTAACAGCTTTTGAAAGGGAGAGGGAGAGACCTTAATGTTGTACATTTGCCAACTTCTGACCAGTATGACACGACACGATATGACACCAAACACGATACGTCAACACACTTTATTCTCTATTTAACTGACTGACCTGTGTTTTCTGCCAGATGTCAACAGGACTTACCTGATTAAATAACAAGTCCGTGAATTAGCTGAAAACAGACAATCCCATTTTGTATTTTATAACAACAATGGCATGGTTATTAAATTTGAAGATGATGTAAAATCACACTTAATGAATTAGTTTACTGTGATTCAAGACCCCTTGAAATTAAACTTTGTGAATATCTAACTGTGACGTATTTCCAACTCAGGATAGAACCAATCACAAGACAGAAGGCAGAACATAATGTTGGGATGAAAAATTGGTCAAAACATTGTAAGCGCCTCTGAGTGCAGAATGAGTCATCGGAGTAAAAAAACATTTTTTTTGTAAAGTCAAAGGTAATGCTATTTAATTCCTTTTTATTTCCCCGAACAAATTATTAGAAAATGGATCTTAAATTTGAAATCAAGTTGAACTGGAAAAATCTACTTTCGAAAATGGTCATTTAATTGTTACAGCACCTTTCTCAACTTGTACCTTTTTCACTAACAAAACTGCAACAGCTTGCAAGTGGGAGGGCAAAGGTCAGTTGAGCTCCTTCACACTTAACAAGATAGTGTCAGACAAAAGTAAAAAAAAAAATGCTAAACATCTGATCTCAATAGATTAATAAAGGAGTTATCCCTATTTTCTGTATCCAGTTTCCCCAGTTCTCCCCCAGGTGACCTTAGACAAGACTTCATTAGAGAAAGTACAGAGGAAGATTTGTGAAAAGGAGTAAATCCTCAGGGAGGGGGTGACTTGCTGCAGAGATCTCTTTTCTTCTTTTTTTTGCCTCCTTGAGTCTCAGAGATATGTAGAAATGGGAAGTAAGAGGAATCGGGCAGATTGACCTTTTTAAAAGAAGAAAATCTGCTGAGCATTGCTGCACCTTTACCAATGTGCTCTACAAGAATATTATACCATATTTTCTTACAGCAGCACAGTAAAAGTTGTGCAAAGTGTTGACTGCTTAAGAGTGTGGTCTCTACCTCCAGGCCGTCCCAGCAGTTAGAAGAGCTTGTGGCATATTAGGCAATTATTTTCTGGTTTCTCTCAGTGACAGAAATGTGATTATACTGGCTGTCACTGTCACGTGGACTACTGTTTTATATAGCCTTGGAATTGTTTTTTTTTTGGATGTTGACTTAGAGTCAGGAGTGATTTGGAGAGGAGCCGTGGTAAGAAAACACTACTGCTAGATTTTTGCATTAGTAGGTTCATGGTAACATACCCTTCTCTATTGTTTATTATTATCTAATTAACACCATAATTCATAAAGTTAATGAAGTAGTAAGTTAAGACTTCAAACTAGAACTTCAGACCATATACTTATTGGGGAAAAAATGTACAGCGCTTTTAAATTAAGGTAGAATAGGTTCACTGTGTAGTACACGTCTTCACAACCATTCCTCCCCTTCTGGCCTTAAGAAAGAATTCATGTTTATGACACTTTTGCAGTGGCTTCTTCATTTTTAGACCCAGGGGCTATGTTCATTTCTATACAAAATGTGTCCTCTACAGCATTGGAATTTGATTTTTTGTGACTGCATTATGTCTGCGTCATGTTCCACTGCCAGCTACAGCTAAGTGGCTTTCTCCTTTTTGTCGCTGAAAAACAATTAACAGGGAATGCTCATTGCAGTTTCAGGGAAAGAATTATGTGGTTTTGGCTCAGTGTTGGATTTTGAATCCTGAGATTGTTAGTTGAAGAAGTCAGGAAGTCTGAAAAGTTTAAGATCCCATTTCAGCTTACTTTTCCTCTTCTCTTCAACTTTAGTTTTTTCCCCATCCTTTCCTCTTTCTTTCTTCCTTACCTTTGAGTTGTAAACCTGTTTTATTGCCCCCCCCCCCTCCCCTCTCTATTGCTCCCCTCAGTTCACTGCACTCTTGAGGATTGTACTACTCTCTTCAAGAATGTCTTTTTCTTTGCTTGCCTTTTCCCGCGACTCCTTTCCTGCTCGTGGGTAACCTGTTAGCTTCCCTCAGCACGCTTGCAGCCTCGGGGCAGACCGACTTAAACTCAGCCACGTTACACACCCGCTATCTTTAGATGCCTTGTGGAAAACGGTGAGCTTTTCTTTAAAAAATGAATGGGTCTGTGTTCAGCCCAGCCTTACCGAGAACCTGGGGGGGGTTGCTGAAATGAATCAGTGCTCTGTGAGTTGGGGCTGGGGACAGGAACATTACAGCTGTGTGTGTAGATGCACTCTTAATGTAGTACAAATCCTAACACTGTCCCACCCACACTGGCTGCTTTACATATTTTTTGGAATTCCTGTGTTTGTTGTGCAAGTTATAAGAAACCATAAAACAACAGCACATTTTAATAAAACTTTGTATCATTCACTTTCAAAAGTACTGATAGTATATCAGGAGAGGGGAAAAAAATAAAATTTTAATATTGGTGCATATCAAAAAACAAATTTGCATTTCTTTGCCCCGATCTTCCTTTCACAATGAAACGGTTCAGGTCTGGTTTTAGTTACGTGTTAGAGTAAACTCTTACTGGTTTTTTGACACTCTTGTCACTGTGGCTGGCTGACTGATTGCGTGGTGTGTCTGGTGGATACATGTGTGCTATAATTTTCTGTAATTAGTGTCTGTGTTTATCCCACTGGTTTCCTGTTCCCTCTGTGTTTTGTGGGGCCTTTGGGTCCACTTGTTTCGTGCTTCACTGGCAGTTAAGATTGACTTCTGATGTACCGAACAATTAGTTATTCACTTACCTACAGCTGCACCATGCAAGAGAAACTCTTTTCTCACAATGATTTGATATTAATCCTGGATTTTTCTCGTCTTGGAACATAAAAACACTTCCCATTCTGTCAAGAAAACTAAGGTAAAATAAAGAACATTTATGAGGGAGTTTCTGCTAGAATTGCATTGGAGGCAGGGGACTGTACTTTTTGTTATGGGTTTTCAAAGATATTGGTATGGGACTGGGAGTGAGCAAAAAATGACAGTATGAAGTGCAGAGAAAGTAAAATGAGACTAAATACATTTATACAGCAGGGTAAACAATGCATCCTTTCATGTGCTGTAAAACTCTTACTGTCTACAGGTTTTTGGATTGAGAAAATCACATACACATGCAGCAGATTTATATTTGTACATTTGGCAAAAGTTAAACCTAATGTGAGGGGATTTTAAAGGGTTATGAAATAGTCTTGAAGAAATACGGATTCCCCCTGTTTGACCTGCAGAAGCAAACGTACCAGCAGCTACAACATTGATTAATTGTTAGTTATTTTGAATTCCTCTCTTTGCTGCTCCCTATGATGTAGAGATTACTGCTCTTAGACCGAAAATCAAAAGCTTTGTTTCCATTTCCACTGCTGAAGGTTCATTGTGAGAAATCCATTCACCAGTTAGATGGAAGTAGGATGAGATATGTAAACAGAAATATAAAGGAAAGGATCAACAAGAAAGATAAGACTCTCGCTTTCTCCTCAGGGGACGCAGAAAAATTGAAAAAAAAACAAAGAAAGTTGCCCACAGTTTCCCTAATGATCAACAGCCAGTTGTGATTTTAAAAAAAATCTAAGAAATGCGCTGACTTTTTTGTCAAAGACTATAGAAGTGACTTTTCAACTAATATTTTTTACAACCCTCTTTCTTTGCATGAAGGAATCTCAACTGTTTCTTTGCCAGGTCAAACAAAGCTCTTTATTTTTAATAAAATATTTATTTTCACTTGTTAACCAGTTTTTTTCATTTCTTGGCTCTTGCAGCCAACAGTAAGAAATATCTCAGGGTGAAAGTTTAGTTTAAATATTCATCTTCTTCTCCTTTGTGCACCCCCCCCCCCCACACACACACACAGATTATTGTCCTCCAGCTTGTGAAGACGCCATGCTTCTCTGGCCCCCTCATGGCCGTGTCACTATGACGATCACCCTCCTCAAGCAGATCTTGGTTCTGGCTGTGCTTCTCTGCGCCCTCGGTCCAGTGACAGGTCAGGGCTTAACTGAGACTCAGTCCGCCTCCCAGGTGCTGCAGGACCTGCTGACTCGCTATGGAGACAACGTCACCATCACGGTGCCCCAGCTGCGGTCTCTGCTGGCCCACCTCAGCCGAGATCAGGTTGAAGGTGAAGGAGAAGGAGAAGGCCACAATATGGCGGAGTCACCAACCACAACACCTCTCAAAACCAACCATTCAAAGGTAAGAGCCAAAACTTGCTTTTAGTTTGATTTTTTTTTTTTTTTAATGAGAGACTGCTCCATAATAATTAAGATGACAGTTATAATATCTGTGCACATGAAGCAGTCATTTTAGAATTACTGTACATAAATCTACAAATGTAAACAAGGAAAAAGCTACTGACAATAAAACAATCAAACTTTATTTATATATCACCTTTCAGACAATTCAAATTGCTTTACAAAAGAGTGAAATAGTGAGTGACAAAAGGTAGTCTGTTAAAAATGATTGAGTTATTAATGCACATTAATAAGAAGTTAATTAAATAACAATAAAATAAAGATGGATGATTAAAAAAACAAGATACAAGAAATGAGCCATGATAAGGTTTTGGCACAGTTCCTAATCCAAAAGTATAGAAAAAAACCTTGACTTGAAAAAATGTCACTTTATTTTGGCTCACACTGATTATGTGTTAGTCAAGGCTAATAGGGGCTTTTCTGAAGACTCATTCCAATGTTACTATGTAATGTTTTTATTTACCTTTACATTGTTGGATCTTAGAGTATTGAACAATTAGTTCAATTGAGGATTTACATTTGTGAAACAATTGCTGATATTAAGTTTGCATTTCGGGGGGGGGGTTGAGCTTGGACTTTTATTTTGAAATTGAGAAGTTTAATCGGTGACACAATCATAAGAAAAGTCAAACATCAGCTAAAGGCCGTTTTTACACCAAGTATAAGCATTCCACTGTTCATTACTGTCACCATCAGCTGACTTATTTCACTTTCGTAGTTTTCACTAGTAGTTCACTGGAGTTCAGTAATGGATCTGTTTTTGTTGGCAGTTGTTCAGCTTTTCCAGATGCTGTTTGTTTCTGTAATAACATGACACTAGCAAAATGTGTTATCAGCCATCAGAAAGGATTGTTTTAAAATTTGGTATATAAAAAAAAATCAAGCCTGCACACTTCCATGCCTCCAAATAACTTTCAGCTTTAAAACCATAAATGCATTCTCAAGTCACATTTCATGAACAAGTTGTCAACTATGCAGCATAAAGCTGTCTTAAAACAACAATTATGTTGGTTTAAACATCTAATTGAGGGACAATACAATACAAAGGTTGTCAATGTGCCACACCTAGAGGGGAGGTGTGGCTGAACATCAGGCAGAACCTGAAAAAAAGTATTAACCTAAAACAATAAAGCAACTTTGGTAGATCAGCAAATGTGATTTGACAGGATGGAAACGTTGACCTGATCATGTCCACTTCACGTTCTGTTTTCTCAATAACTATTCTCTACCAGCAAAAGAGTTCTGTAGGTGCGCCAGGTAAGCCCTAATGTGAAGTCTTTTGGAGGGTAAATCTTGAAGAAGCAGGAGCCACTGGTGCCACACTGCTGAAATGTTTCACATATTTCCCATGCTTTGTGTCCTGTGCAATTGACTCACTAGCTGATCTGCCTTTGAATAGATTAACCTGAGTGAGCGGTCCAAAGGTTTAAGCTCTTCTGTGAAAATCGAATAGAACAATAGGCTGATAGTCACTGATAGTTCAGATGCTGGACTTTCATGCTGCTTTGTGGTTTCTTTCTTTACCTGTTTGGATCTAAAAATAGAATCATGTTTGTGTGTGTGACTCAATGAACAAAGGAAGAACTGCAACCTCTGGCCTTTAACTGTGACTACACTCTCTAATTAGTGACGTATAGACACGTGTGTGCAACAATGTGTACTACCGTTTTAACATGTTTGGTAACATGAGACTCGTATTGCTACGCGTGGAATTCCAATATTCTCACTTTTACATTTGAAAGAATGAGAAGTTTAAATAAGTATTGAATACATTACATGTGTTATTTTCTAAATAAATCAATATGTTGTTTTATCAGTAGATAGAAAAGTTGAAAAGATCAATCAGTGTTTCCAAAAGCCCGCTATAATGTCCTTAAAAGTTTTCTTTTTTCCACAACCCAAAGACATTCATTTAACTTACACAGTCGCTGTCACAATATTCTCATTAAGAAACTGGAATCAGAGAACTTTGGCTTTTTCTTTTCTTCATATAAAATAACTCATAGTAATATTTCTATTTCCAAAGTGGTTTTTCAAAGGGGGAAAATTCACTTTATTATGTGCTAAATCCTTCTCAAAGGCTGACTGTCATTATTTGTCCTTGAAGATTGAATTCCATCTGGCCTCTGTGTCCCAATATAGACGTGTCACATTTAATGTGGATACAGTTTCTCTCGGCTTTTAGAAGTGACTTTTCAGGTTTCATATTTCAGACAAATGAATTTCAGGAGTTGTCCTTGTGACATCTGTCAGAACTCTACATTGTCATTTAACATTTCAGTATACTTTTTCAATTCTACTAAAAATCCTGTGTTTAAAACACGGATGCATCAAATTCTCACATTTGATATGATTAACCTGATGTTTGGGGTCTCTTTAAAATTCTCCAAAAAATAATAATTTTCTGTTTTGGTCTCTGACTAATTTAGTGATTGCGGAATCGGTTCTGTAGTGAAAAGACTTCGTTTGTCACTCAGTTAAAAAGAGCTGCTTAATATTGCTTGCTGGTTTCTGTGGCGCGATATGTTCTCCCCCAATAGAAATGCTGTTTAACTGGTTTGTTCACAGTTAGGATGTGATTCTTGGAAAAATACTCAAACAATGGAATTCACCACATGAACATTTTCAGCTTTACCGTATATTTTTTTCTGCCTATTTACAACTTTTATTTTTGCGACTCAACTGATTTATTTCCATGTTTTCATTCCTGCAGTGTTTACCTGCAGACACGTTAGCTATGTACAGCATCAGTGAGCAGTCACAGCTGGATGGACAGGGCCTACAGAAGCTGTGTCCCACCATGCTGCAGCAGCTGGATAAAGGAACCTGCAGGGCACATAAAGAGGAGGAGCTGGCCTCCCCCAGGCCCTCAGACGTCGAAGGTGAGCACTGAATAGTTACTGAGCATAACTAGGCCCTTTGTAACCGTTTGTCTATTGTGGAGTCACAGTCAATAATGGGAGATTTTCCTCTTCATCTCATCATTGTCTTTTCACTGTACGGATACTTTGTGAATACAGTAGAATAATGATTGTTGTGTTTTTCTTATATTCTCTTTATTACTCTTTTGTGATATAATTCTGTTTATCTTTCTACAGCTTCCCTTTTGTCAGTTGTTTTCTTTAAGTGTTTTTCATCTGGAGTTTTTACTAGTTTTTGTCAGTTCTGTCTTCTCTCTTACAACTATATCTTCTGTTCAAAATATATTCAGTGAAAAGACTAAAGCAGTGAAACCTTGAAAACACATTTCGCTGTCTGATCTGAGCTCCAAATGTGTGTTATTTGTTGCCTAGCGATGGTGATATCACAATTTTCCCAAAGGAGATTAAAGCCAAAATAAGCATGCACACAGATAGCCAAGTCTCAGATTGCATATCTCAGTATGGCTTAAACACACCCTTCAGATTGTAAAATCCTGCCTCAATCAACATCCCTAGTACCTAGCAGAGATCTCTTCCAGGTCAAACAGAACAGCCGGCCAGCTACAAACTGCTCCTTGTCTTCGTCTGCTGAGCCGCTGTAACTCCAAACATACTGCCCATTATACACACCCACTTAGACGCCCTGGAAGTAGTTTTGGCATCTGCACTCGGTGTGACATTCCCAAAAATGTGGAGTGAAGCTTTTGATTTGAGTATTTTGAATTTGCCACTGGTACAGAAACCTTGATAATGACAAAGTTGGAGAATGGGTCAACATGATGTGGGAGGTCCCCCCCCCCCCCAAGTCTGCAGCACCCTGCTCACAACATGATGCCAGAAAGCACTGAGCAGCAATGTTTCTGGATCGTTTGTCCTACTTATTACTCTGAGGAAAAATAACAACACTTATGTAGACTCTGCTTGACATTATGTTCTAGAACAACAGTTAGTCATGAAACACAGCAAGCAGGTCCTTTGTTTGAATCCATGCTCTCCCGGGTTCAGGTTTCCTCCAGTTGTTCTGGTTTCCCTCCCCATCAGAAACATTATTCTCCTTTTAAAGCACGGTTTTTGTTGGTGCACTTTGGCTGCCTACTGCCTTTAAACACAGGTGGGACAAATCCAGTGAATACGGTTCTCAACAGATATCGTTAAAGACCAACTTAACTTATGTAGCCATGCTGAGCTAGCTCACAAATTTTTTTACTTTACTTTTTTACCCACTGAGCTCTTGCTTTGGCTCCCCTCTCCACGGTCAAATGTGTTATCCTTTTACCATTCGCTGATACGCCCTCAGCTCGTCTCAAGGCAGCTTATTTTGGCTCGTGAGCCGTTTTCTCTGCAGGGACTGTAGAGATCTGCAAGCAGCAGGGAGGCAGATGCCAAAGAAGTTCATCCCCACTGCAGATCTCTCTGACTTATACATCTTCGTCTGTTCTTTTTATTTAAGGTTGATGCTTTTGTGACTTTTCTTTAAATACCTTTTTAATCAAATCCAGGATTCTATCCAACACGTCTCCGGTTCTGTTGAAGACAAACCTATCTGTCCCCTAAACAGCTACTTCCAAACTGTTTTATAAAGTTATTACAGCTGATTTTGTAGTATCATCCTTTAATAGTACTACTCATGCACTTCATGCCCAGCAGCTGTCTTGAGATAGCTAGTAAAAAAAAAAAAAAGCAGATCCTGTCTAATGTAACACCATGATTGTATTCAGAAGACAAATGCTTGTATGTTGTTGTTTTTAATGCTCAATCTGTATTCACAGCTCCATTTCCACATATGAAGCATGGCAGTTTGTTTTAATGTTCCACCTTTCTCCTCCATGCCCTCACCTGTCACTCAAACCACCAGTGTGGGGCTTTTCTTTCCTGAGTGTGAGTGTGATCAATGCCTTCGCCCTCACCGGAGTCTTCATCGTGCCTCTCATGAGGACGCGCTTCATGAAGCACATACTCGTCTTTTTCATCGCTCTTGCCATTGGCACACTGTTCTCCTCTGCCGTCCTGCAGCTCCTGCCAGAGGTTTGCCATCTACCCATCCATCCCGACACCTTTCCGTCTACACCTTATTCACAGCCCATAAAACTTTTTTTTTTTGCTTCCCATGAAGCAAACACAAAAATTGAATTTAGTTCACTGCAGTGCTGCACGGCTGTTTATAAAACGAGTGCACCTTTGGCCCAGAGCTCCTTTGTCTGTCATGTGGTCATATCTATATCCTCTGCTTCCTGCCTTTGTTTCCTCGCAGTGTTTTTTCCAGCTCCAATAAGCACTGTGGAAGGCTCTTTCGTTTTCCTTTACCCTCACTGCATCACTAATCATCAAGGGGTGTGTTTGAGTTTTGTTTTTGAATCTGACCCTTCCTCAGAATTGAGATCTAGGCCAGTCATGTGGTTTTTCTTGGAGAAATCAGATCAGCTCTCTCTTCTGCCACTGCAGCATATTAACAGCCAAATAGATTTAAAAACAGGTTTCCCAATACTCCCTTATTTGTGTAAGACTATCCTTGAGAAGTAACGCACAGTGTCCTTCAAGCTGAAATGGGATCCCGTGTTAGCAGTGCTCCTTTTGCTACTGTTGGGCTATTTAAGGTTCACTAGCCCCCTTTTTTGTCTGCAGTGCACCCTGAGGCTAGGACAGTAGGTGCACCTTAGTGTGTGTGTGTGTGTGTGTGTGTGTGTGTGTGTGTGTGTGTGTGTGTGTGTGTGTGTGTGTGTGTGTGTGTGTGTGTGTGTGTGTGTGTGTGTGTGTGTGTGTGTGTGTGTGGTGTGTGTGTGTGTGTGTGTGTGTGTGTGTGTGTGTGTGTGTGTGTGTGTGTGTGTGTGTGTGTGTGTGTGTGTGTGTGTGTGTGTGTGTGTGTGTGTGTGTGTGTGTGTGTGTGTGTGTGTGTGTGTGTGTGTTCACACTTTCTTCCCTGTTGAAAAGAAATGCATGGTGTCATTGGGCTGCTTCAAAGACAGCAAACTATTATCTTCTTTCCAAATGAAAGGTGGTGTTACTTCTATTGAGCAATGGACAAAAGGGTTGTTAGTGTCTTTTAAATTTAATTTTTTTTCAAATCCCTTTTCCCCCCTTTAGGGACATACACGGGTTGGTGGTATCTAATGTTTTGTTCTTTACCTCACTGTGGTGATTAATCTGGTCAAATGACTTCCTAACTAACTACCTGCCTCTATGTTTTTTTTTCTCTCATCTTCCTCTTATCTTTTCTCTGCCTTCTCTCCGTTGATCAGTGTGGGGTTATGGGATCCTGTGTGTAACACTCATCTCTCTGTGTTCGCTGGTGGGGGCCAGCGTGGTGCCCTTCATGAGGAAAACCTTTTACAAGCGGCTGCTGCTCTTCTTCATAGCCCTGGCCATTGGCACGCTGTACTCCAACGCCCTGTTTCAGCTCATCCCAGAGGTAGTGTTGATGCTGCTGTGACTTCGAGAGCTGCAGCTCATTCACAGAGCCACAGCTGTGCAGGGCTGCTGAGCAAGAAAGGGGAATACTTGTTGCTGTGTTTGATTTGATTGGCTGGGTGTAGCATCAAACAAAATCTCCCCTCCTAACCACATTCCTAATATTATATTTCCACATTTCAAACATTTATGTTAAAACTGAAAGAAATTAAAAGAAGATAGGAGTACTGTCATAAAGTAGGCTATGAAATGTTCTACTAATCTTAGGGTTAGGAGTTATTTATCTATTTATCTCTTTAGGTTTCTGATTAAGATAACGTTCAATAAGCAACGTTTTATTAAAGAGAGCTTCAGTGTATGTCAACACACGGACTAAAGTTAAAAGTCAGAGTGTATTCCCATACAGTCATTTGTCTGTCTAGACAGCATTTAAAAGACAAACTGCTCACACCCATCAGGCTAGCTTTACATCAGTTTTGTAAGTCATTGCATCATTTCTGGTGGGTTGAATAGTGAAAGAAGAAAACACCTCTCAGCTGAAGTGTTCATTCATTCATCTGAAGTTTGACGTGAGTCGACTATGTCCATGATGCAGTTCTTCCATTAGAACGGGGAGTGCTCTGAAATATCTCAAAATCACGTCAGCTCAGTTGGTGGTTGCTGTTCAGTTTTTCATTGGAAAATAATAAAACTGTCCAAAGACATTTAGCTGGGTGACATTTTCAGAAGAGATAAACATGCTTTTATAAGAGCAGCTCACTGTGAAAGCAAATCAAAACACAGCAAAATGTTTTCTTTCTCTTGTTTTTAGACAGCTGACTGCACAGCCTTGACCCACATAGATTTCAAAACAAACGGCTCAACAATCACTTATTTTTCACCCTCAAAACCACATGCTAAATGTTTCTCTTACAATTGCCAATTGTTTAAATTACACCTCCTTTTTAAAATGTATGAACTTTGTTTAATGTATGTCAGTGATGAGCTAGTTTGAGTTTTCATCAGATGCTGATATCATCTTATTTTCTCAATCGTAGGCCTTTGGTTTTGACCCCATGGTGGATTTCTACATGTCCAAGTCAGCTGTGGTGTTTGCAGGATTTTACCTCTTCTTCTTCACTGAAAAAGTCCTCCGAGTTCTTCTCAAACAGAAAGACCAGGTGAGTACACTGCGAGAAGGAAATGATATTGACAGTTAAATGTTTAGATACAGGTAAAGGTCAACAAGCATATCTGTATCAGTTCAATTAAATCAGATAAATATCTTTGTTTTATGTCTGTGGGACTTCAATTACAATTTGTCAAACAATAGAAGTTCTTTTACCTGTCCCCACAAGGTTGTTCATGTTGACCCTACTTTGTTATTTCATGCTTCAGTGTTTGTTAAGGATATCATAACAAGCCAACCTTTTTATCAGGAAGTGTTCCATTTACTTAGATTATGAGAGCAATCAGCATCACCATGACGCACAATGAAATAGTTCTGTCATGTAGTATTTGTGCTTCAGTGGCAGGTTTAGTAAGTTGGACAGAGACGGGAGGCCCCACATCTGGTGTGTCAGGTTCACAGTTGTGCCCTCAGGAGTTTACTAGAAGTCATTCTTCACTTCCAGTCCTGAAAAGTGTTTAGGGTTTGTCATGCATGAGCAAAAATGTTACTCTGCCACGGGTTACCAGGCAAGGACGCCCACTCGTCCCCTATGTAAATATAATATCTGTTAAGAAACAGGAACTGAAGCCATATTAGTGTGAAAACAATGGAGGATTCAATTGAGTCATCAACCAAATATGCTGATTATTAACAGTGTCCAGCTACTCATGCTATTCTTTTTTGTATTTTTATACTTTTTTCTGTTTTCTGGACAAATTAGGGATTAACTTGTCCTCATTCTATTTTTTAAATATTCAGCTGAATGTATTTAAAAACCCAAATTAAGAGAGCTTTATTGCTAAATGAATATTATCCTTACCTGCTACTAAAGTGTTATCCACCTAATCATTTAGCAAAAGAAGGCCAAAGACATGGCTTGCTGGCTGTCTCAGTTGTCATTATGACTTTGCAAAAAAAAGTTTCGTATATGTTTTAAATTATAGTCAATAGAAATGTTGATCTTTTTGCTAATTTCTAGACAGCAAGATGTTTTCCTACTCCTCCCTTTATAAGAGTATTGAATTCTAGACTGTGTGGCGATGTGGTCAGTGGGCATGTGGTTGTTTTTTCTAAGTTCTCTATTTAGGATTGACTGCGTGCTGTTCCAGCATGTCTGGTTTTTGGCACCAGGCCGTTTGGCAGCTTTTTATTTCTGCATATTTTCATGAGTGCAGTATCATTGTATGTAGCACTTGTTATAAAAGGTTTCCGTGGCTGCAATATGAATCTGTGGGTCACTTGTTAAATGGATGTCAATGTTCCAACTTTGCAGATTTTCTCTTATTTAATAAATTCAAAAAAAAAAAAGCTTGATTGAAATTCTCACCTGCATGTGTTCATACAGCTTTTCAGTGCTGCTGAATTCTCTAAAAGCCTCAGGGAATTCAACCAGGGTGATTTGGGAACAGTTGCTCCACCTTGTGGTTACGATACTTGAAGCCATATGGTCCAGCCAGGCTGCTTAACAGCTCACACTACGAGCTGTTGATCCTATTACACAAGTTCTCTGACCCGGATTGCCACCTGCAGCGCTGCTTTCAGGCTTTTCATTTTGTTGCAAAAATGAACAATTCCACATCTGTCACTAGCAATTATTTTTGATATACAGAGGACTATTGTAGTGTTTGATGGAGAGGGGACACAGAACAGTAACAAAACAACCGCTGTCCTTGTAGAACTCTTAATCTCCAGGTTTAGTGTTTGTTTTTAACAGTTCATCCTCAGAGTAAATGCAGCCTGAGAGGCTCTGCATAGGGCAACATGATTCAAGAGAATGCTTTGATGTAACTAATGTGTGTTAGTTATGATTAGATTTTGGTATCAGCACATTTTTTAAAGTTTTGACTGTAGAGTGTCTTTGTTTTTGTGTTCAGAGCACAGAGTCACAAATGTGTCTTGAGCAGGATAATAGTTTGACTCAGAATCAAGTTCAAATCAAAAGTCTGATCAGTGCTTACAAAACAGTATCTAACTGGATTGTTAAACTGTTGTGTTCATCGTGGATGCGACAGAAACAACACGTCAGTGTGTCTAGTGTGTCAGCTTCTGTGTATGGGTTACAAGTTTACTGGTTGAACTTAAACAGCATCCATGTCTTGTAGTTTTTAATTTTCTGTTCAACATTATTGACCATGATCTCTGTGTCTCAGGGCCATGGACACAGTCATTACTCTGGATCAGATCAGTACTCGAAATCTGACGGGGATGTGGAAAGCGTGGAGAAGGAGAAGCTGCAGCAGAACGGAGCCCCCGGTCTGGCTCTGGGCAAGGTGGACTTAGGAGAGGGAGAGCTTATGCTGAGTCCTGCACAGACACCAGAGGTAAGACAGGGAGAGACTACAACCTGTTATTTTTTTCTTTTTTTCTTATTGTAATTTTCCTTTTTTATTTATATTACCAAAGTAATTCGATTTTAAAAGTGAAATAAAGACTTTCCTATAAAGAGGTAAAGGCCACCAGCCCCTCTGGTCAGAAGAAGCTTATTTTTTAACCACTCTTATCTATCAGCATATTAAACCTGTTTCATGTCAAATCATCAGATACTGTTAGCTTCAAAATCTGGATCTGAAGCATTTTCTTTGCCTTATTTCATAAACATAACATTGTTTATAATTTGTTATTAAATTCTGGTGGGTTTCACACTCAGGACTCTCAGAGCCCTGACAGCGGCGGTCGCTCTGGCAACAGGGGTGGCTGCTATTGGTTGAAGGGGACAGCTTACTCTGACATCGGCACGCTGGCCTGGATGATCACATTGAGCGATGGCCTGCACAACTTCATTGACGGCTTGGCTATTGGAGCGTCCTTCACCGCCTCGGTCTTCCAGGGCGTCAGCACCTCTGTGGCCATCTTGTGTGAGGAGTTTCCACACGAGCTGGGTTAGTCAGGATTTTCAATCTATAAAATGATATATTTTTTTTATATTTCCTCCGAAACACAACCTAACACAAATACAAACTTTCCAAAACTATAACATTGGTGCTTTGAACAAAAAATGCACCAACAGATTTAGAAACATTTTCTTGTCTTCATGCAGCTCTCTCTCTCTCTCTCTCTCTCTCTCTCTCTCTCTCTCTCTCTCTCTCTCTCTCTCTCTCTCTCTCTCTGTCACCAGGTGATTTTGTGATCCTACTCAATGCCGGCATGAGCATACAGCAGGCTCTGTTCTTCAACTTCCTGTCAGCTTGTTGCTGTTATCTGGGAATGGGCTTTGGCATCCTGGCCGGCAACAGCTTCTCTCCCAACTGGATCTTTGCTCTGGCAGGAGGGATGTTCCTCTACATCGCTCTGGCAGACATGGTCAGTGTTTTGGGGGGAAGGGATGTGGTGCATGTGCGGACAGGGTGGATCTGTTTTTATAAGAGTTCTTAAAGGGCAATAAGATAAGAGTTCTTATCAGAAATCATCACTTTAATTTAATTTACTGGAAAAAGACATTTGTATTTTAACAAAATGAAACAAGCAATTTTCTTCTTTACTAGCTCCTGCTAAGTTAACACTTATAGAAAAATGAATATAGTTAATTAATATGCTGTAGTTTTACCTTTACAAATTTGCAACCCCATGATATCTTTTGTTAGCCCCTCTTTGCCTGGTAATTGCCCCCATTTTTAAGGTCCATCAACACACTAAAACAAAAGTTTTCTTTACAAGTTCGTAGCTGTCAGTGGAGTGAGTCCTGCTGTAGTGTGAAACCATTTTCATGAGCATCAGCGTTCCTAATTGTTTGACTAATCTCAAAAAGGTCCTTCTCTATCTGCTTTGTTGTTCTCAGTTTCCAGAGATGAACGAGGTGAGTCGTGAGGAAGAAGACGCGGGCGGCAGCAGCTTTCTCCTCACCTTCGCCATCCAGAACGCCGGCCTGCTGACAGGCTTCGCCATCATGTTCTTCCTCACCACCTTCTCTGGACAGATCCAGCTGGTCTAGCAGCCGACTCCTCTGGACGAACAGCAGCGCTTACCAGTGTGACATGAAACTGAGATGACAGCTGGTTTGTGCCAGTTTCAACTGACTACAAGTGGAGGGACATATTCAAGAACTATTTGTCTTTATTTTCCTCTCATTGTCTCAGTTTTCAGGTTCTTTGGCGTTTGGGGAGTTTGGCTGCTGTGCGGCAGGTACGCACACTCCTTATCAAAAAAAAATATTTGAGATGTTCATGTGCAGTTCCCAGATGCAGTAGATCCTGAGCAGTGGTTGTGGCAGCCTTCTTTACAACCTTTATAAATCCTTTTTTCTGCTTAGTTACAGTAACAGAAATATCTCCTAAAGCAGGAATCATTCAGTCAGAAGAGACGAGCTGCAGATGTGCAATGACTCTGACCCACGTGCAACCCCAACCCAGTCACTGAAAATGTTCTCTGTTCTCCAAACTTACAACTGCTCTTACATTTTCTCTTCTCCTCACTGGACATCTTTTAGCCTCAACTGTTGACATTCAGTAGATCCAGATTAATTTCTGTCACTTACTCTCTTAGCGCTTCCTCAGTAGGTGGGAAAAGCACAATCAGATTTTAGCAGCTGTATTATTAACATCTTCTAGTCTTGATTCTCTTTCCCAGACTTGAACCCTTCTCTTTCCTTCATTCATTTCACACCAAAAAAACAAATCTCTATGGACCTCAAGTGGAATTTTAAATCAAGTGTCAACTTCCAGCTGGACTTTGTTATGTGTGTTGATGTTATATTTTTGTAAAATGATCCTGTTTGAAGACCAAATATGGAGCGACCATGAAGAATAATGAAGGGCTACACGGTGGCATTTTGGGTACACTTTGATTCTCATCTATACGGATGTGTCTTTATCCTCAGCATGCTGTTCGAAACAAACAGAACAAAGCTGAAGTCTGAAACTAAAAGTGAGGACAAGTCCAGAGTTTGATCTAAGCCTTTTTTCAGATAAGATGCAGCATCACTGAGCGTCCACTATATTTACCTTCGGTGCCCTTCATTCATATAAATGATCTCTGGTCTTGGTTTACACCATTGACTATTTTCTCTTTTAATGTGTTTGAACGAAATACTGTAAATGTAATCTTCAAACATTCACACTTCACCTCCTGCTCTCTGTAATACCGATCATAGATATTTATAGATTTAAGTTAAATACTATATTAAGTTAGACTTTAATGACAAACCCTCTGAGTCTTTTTAAGTTTCACTATAAGGCCCAAAGGCTGTGGACAAGCTCTTCTCCGTGCTTACATGCATTTTTTAATTGCGTGGTTTTCATGGTTGGCAGCAGCCTCTGTTCGTTCCTCTCATGATTTTTCGATTATTTATAAATCCCGGTTCTAAGAGTAAATTTTTTTAGACATGAAAATACCTCAAGATCTTCAAAAGACGTAGAAGTTTAATTGAATAACACTGAGCGCTCTCTAAGGTGTTTCCTCAAACCTCAAAGACTCTTTTAACCATGTGGATGGAAAATATCTCTTCTCCATTTCCAAGTCGCTGAGCTAACTTGGGGCCTGGATTAGGGCAAGGCTTCATATTAAGAAACTTAAATATTGAAGTGTTGCAACAAGTCAATATTGATCCATTTACTGACCAATCGAATAGTTTGCTTAAAAGGCTCAAAACATTTTGGGGGGTTTATTATGTTGGTCCAACTGCACCATTTACGTATACATGTATGGGGATGGAAAAATGTTTGATGATTGATTGTTTCATTCTTCATTCATTGATTTTTCTTTGACTGTTTTTTGGTAATGAAATTGCTGTTGACTTTGAAATCTTCCTTTTTTTGCTTTGAAAAAAATGAAATTCATATTTATGAAGTTCCAACACTTTGTCAGTATTTTGAAGGTTGTTGTCCTTTTCAACACAACACAGCCTCCGTGCAAAGTGACATGTTTATAAAAAGGGTTCCCCTGTTTCTTAAAGAACCTGAAGCCACATTCAATCCCTGCAGTCAAATTTGAAAGTAAATTGAAGGCCTTAAAGCGAGGGATTGGAGGCTTTATGGCTTTTTTAATAAGATCTTCAGCACTGATGTGTTAGGATATCTAGATACTGTCGACCATGTCAGAAAACTCTCCTTATTGGAGAACCTGTTAAAGAAGAAAAAGGTTCATTATCTGTAAAGTTTCATTTAAATCAAGTGAAACCAGTCCTATCTGACAAACTGTAACAAAGGTGTTAAAGTCATTCCTTTTGCTGCTGCGTGCACCACCAATTAGTGCACGTTTCTGTTGATCCATTTTACTGATATTTTACAGTTTGTACAATATGAAGAATTCTAAACTGGAAAGTCAGTACAAACTTAACTCCTGATTTAAAATGAGCATAGAAGCTGTTGGTAATTATTTGTTGGGGATAGAAAACTGGTAGCCTTGATGGTGACGTGTTGTATGGACAGACTATACAAATCAAAGTTGGCTGTTATTCCTTGACGGTTTAGGGAAGCCATTAACCCCATCACCATGAGGTATGATACAACTGCTGCTCGATGTGTGATAAAATGGAAATTATTTATTGTTGTTTGACCCATAAAATATTTATTTTATGCTTTACACCAAGAAACAGTGTTCAGTTTACTGTTGCATTGAATGCCATGATAGAAGAGAGGATGTGTATCCTTTAATTTGTTTTAGTTTGAACACATGGGACGGGTGACAGAATACATATTAATCCTTTATTTCACTGCACATGTTCTCTGTCTGTACACAGAGAAACAACTTCTGCTCTGTTATAACAAATTAAACATTGTTTCATTTTCACACAAAAAAACCTGTTAATCAAGGATTATGTTCAGGAGCACTCAGATGATAATACAGATTCATGAGTGCAGAACTACTGATTGAAACAAATGTGTCTTTTTCCTCATCAATCAACCAACCAATGACTGAGTGTCTGGAGATTTGAATATCTTATGGATCTGCTGTTAGAATTTGTATTGCCCATTTTGAGAAAAAAAATGTACCTACTTGTAATGTATTGGAATCATCATCAGCCTTCTCTGTGTGTCATGGGAGTCTTGTTTTTTTTTTTTATAAAACATCCTTTTCCAAGAAGGTCGAGTGTCATGTGTGGTCATTGATTGATACTGTCCATGTTTATGATCTTTTCAATTATTTACTAAATGGAATGCAAATTTTGTTTGTTTTTTAATTGTGATATGAATACTTGAATCAGTACACAGTTAAAATAGTTTACATTTATATTCCCAGACAAACATAATAACTCTCTTACATAAAAAAAACTAATACAATAAATTAGCTAAATAAATAATAATGCTCAGGATACAAAATATGTCAAATATATCTAGATGTTTTAATGAAATAACTTTATTGTTTGTAAATATTTGTGCATGATATTGCCCAGAATATGATAAGAGTTTGCTACGTGATACAGTGATACAATACAAAAATTGGACCTATGTAGTTTAAATTATAATTCAGTATTTTATACATTTATATGTTTATCTTAGTAAAGTATATGAAGACTTCCATCACTGCTGTCCATTCTCAACGCCATTAAACTATAGTGAAACAGAAATCACTGGTGCCCACCAGAGGGCGGTAGAGACCCCTCAAATGTAGCTTTACTGCGCATGCGCTACTCTAAAATAACAAGCATGTCACTTCCTGGTCCAGCACAGGTGATTAGAAAACGTTTGGAAACTGAAACTGCACGAAGACGTGACGACTGTGATGAGATGGCCTGAAGCGTTACAAGACGTCGAGTTTAGAGGTGAGTTACAATGAAATGCTGATGTGTACTATAACTTCATTAGAGACACAGAGGACGGTCATAAAGTCACCGGCTGGTTAGCCACGTTACCTTAACGCTAGCCTCTCTCCATTCATTTTCTCCCTCAGCTCCATAAAAACCTGGTAAACAACGTCGAGCTAGCAGCTTCTGTCACCAGACTAAAAAAGCTTTTGCAGTCTGAAGTTAGCTAGCTAAGCAAATAAATCCCCACTGACATCTGTAACATGTTACTACACCTCAGTTCTGGTCTTTCTCTCTTCACGTTGATTTCATATTTTATTTATTTGTCAATTTTATTTCATTCAAAAACAAACAAACATAAAATCTCAAATATTGAATGAAAAGGAGCAGAAAGAAGATTAATCTTATAATATCTGATCCTCTTTTACAACACATTAATTAATTCAAAACATAACACTTAATTATATGACAAACATTACTTATTTACCAAAGTGGTAGTTTGTTGTTGAAGTGTAGGTAGCTCATAAAATGGAGACTTATTCCATCTATTCTGTAGATTTTCATTTTTGCAGTGTTGGCATTTAAAGCTACAGAACTACATCGCGCTGTACTCAAATTTCATTTCTTGTTTGTCGTTTTTTTTTTTAAAGCACATTTTTGTAACTTTGATTCAGATTATAACATATTACGTGACTAGTCTGTCCAGCAGTGGTAGTTATTGGGACTGAGTTATTTCTGATAAAGAACAAATGTAAGATGACTTTGTAAACAGATACAAGTTTAAACATACAGACAATTAGGTTAATGCAATATTGATAACATCTCAGTTAGTGTTCTTTTTACACTCTGCGTACACCGCTTTACACTAAGATCAACCATCATTTTAGCCTTCCTTTAGCTGCAAACCAGCTGACCAGTGGTTGTACTATTTGTGTTATTAATATTAAATTGAGAAACCAATGAATAAAGTACTTGAAAATTAAAATAGGTACCACTTTATAGATACAATGCTGATCTAAAGGTATACTGATAAGGTGAACCATTGTTTAATGGAGGTAATAATGTTCTTCTAGTGACTATAACAGAAGTTATTGTGTCTCGATGAAGCACTTTAACATAACTAATGTAAAAGCAACATGTATGAGTTTCCTTTGTTGGTTTGACTCGCTAGAGAAAACCAGAGAGTGAGAAGTCATGGCCTGTGCACGAGTGCCACTGGATGAGCAGCAGGTGACCGAGCCCGGCCCTCTGGGAAAAGAACACACACTGCCTGCACTGGTGAGCCATATCTCCTCATTTTGTACATAATTACACTCAAGCAGCAGTGTTTGACACTCTACGGATAACATTTCGAGTCCCTGATAAGGACTGGTTCATCAAACACCCATTGTTTTTCTACTCCACCTCAGCACCCGGCCAGAAAGGAGGAGCGCTGTTTTGTGCCTTACAAGTCCCCGCCTGAGGACGGCTCTCCTGCCGAGGTGGAGGAGTTTCTGGAACATGCCAAATTTATCACAGAGGACTTGGAGTGGCTGCTTGGACTGCCTCATGACAAGTTTTGGTGTCAGGTGAGGAATAATTAACATGTAACTAATCTTTCTAAAAAATCATTTATTGTGTTTTCTTGGTGCAAAATGTCCTTTTCCTTCTCTCATTTGCTTCCAATCGGTCTCCTCCGCCAGGTTGTGTTTGATGATTCTCTGCAGAAATGCTTAGACTCATACCTGCATCAGGCTCCCCGTGGCCTTGACCTCACCAGCCTGCCCTCCTCCCCGGCGTTGGCCGACATGCAGCGCTCCATCCACAGGGCCGTCTTCTTGACCTTTCTCAGGATGGCAACACATAAAGAGTCAAAGGTCAGAAAATAATCAATACAACGGGGAATCATCATTGACTTACCTCTAGAAATAGAAGTTCTAGTTTGATTAGTAAACTGTTATGACAATGCACACCGTTGCCAAAGCCACTCCCATCTCCAAAGTAATGACAAACTGTTGATCCTGTTGTGTGTTTTGTGCTCCTCTTCCACAGGAGAACTTTATCACCCCTACTGTGTTTGGAGAAATTATTTATGAGAACTTCCTGTTTGACATTCCCAAAATTCTGGATCTGTGTGTGCTCTTTGGAAAAGGCAACAGCCAGCTGCTGCATAAGATGATAGGTGAGCTTTGATTTCTACCATCAGAGAGTCATTTCTGGATATTATAAGTTTCATATTCTCTTCGTAGGCAAGACCAGTCATTTGTAGCTGTTGTACCCTGTGTTTGACACGTTTCAATCGCTTCCTTTTAGAGAACATCTTTACCCAGCAGCCCTCCTACTTCAGCGACCTCGATGAGACAGTGCCCACTGTGTTACAGGTTGGATTAAACATCAACAGCTGTATTATTAACACGGAAAACTGACTTGTAAGTAACTTTTTAAATGATTCTCCTCTTCTGTTTCCTCCCTGTCACCTTCAGGTGTTCGATACCATCCTTAGTAAATGTGGTCTCCAGTGTGAAGGAGCTGCAGCCATGGAGCCCATGAAACTGAACGCACACAAACAGCCCACTGCTATGACCATGAGCCAGCAGGTCAGACACACACACACACACACACACACACACACACACACACACACACACACACACACACACACCTAAAAATCTTATATCAACATAGCAGGGAAGCTTTATTATGGCAACAATCATAATCAAATAGAGATTTGAAATGTTGACTCAGGTTCAGGTTCACAGTACATGCAACTAAATATTTGTATTAATGGACCATAAAGGAAAGAAAACTCGGAGAAAACTGTCAGCTTTAACATTTTACTGCTTTGTCATCCAAAGTGAAATCTTTTAACTCTGTCTTTGCCATCCGCTGTAATGGAATCCCTCACATTAGGACATAACACGGGTAATATCTGAATTTTTGTTTGGCAGTGCAGCACAGGTGTTGTCTGCCTGAATAAATGGGAAAGAGCTACTAGCTGTAAAGAATAGGATGGTTGGATTTATTGCACAAGTATGTCAGGGAGTTTCAGATGTCTTTAAATCAAGCTACTGATCAGTTGATGTAAGTTGTAATAGAGCATGAACAACGTTACTGCTCTATGTGATGGATGTTGTAGGTTGTGTAACGTATCAGTATTGCATATGGTACTTTATGCTGGTATACTTTGGATGAGGGGTTTCTTTGCAGAGCACTTATCCTTTCATTAGGGCACTTGTGTTTATTTCTAAGATCATTTTTGTCTTCTTTTCTTTCCTAGGAACTTTTAGAAACGGTTCTGTACCTGTGTGACTCCACCACCACCATCCATGCCTTCCTAGACATCTACCCTGCCGCCTGCACCAGCTTTCACGCCCACAGCTTCTCAGCAGGTAGACAGATGGAGCAAACCTGTAGTATCACAGCCACACCTTCTTCTTTGCTATATCCTCTTGTGACAATTTAGTTTTCTCTACTTGCAGACTGACCTCATTTTATGAGACCGCCGTGCCTGACCTGGAGAAGGCAGTGAGGAAGAGAAACTTTGATGATAAAAGGTGATTGTCTGGCTGCATTTATTCCCACGGCCCTTACTGATTACATTAAAGAACGATGATCCTCAATAATCTCTCAAACCCTCCTTCAGTCTACAGGAGGACCTGTGGAAGAGGTTGTCCCACTCCTGCCGAAAGATGGTGGAGACGGCTCACCTGCTGCTCAATTACACCTGCCTGCAGCCCATCCTTGAGGGGTGAGACTTAACTCTCAACATGCCTCTTTTGCGATGACATTCCACATGTTCATTCATTCATGGTGATATTTGTTGCCTTGCAGAGGAGAAAACACGCTATCATTTGCAGAGGAGCTCCTGCAGCATTTCACATCTTTTTTACCTGAGAAAAGGTAAAACTACTGATCAAGATCAAAGGGTTTGTTATGATTATCGTAATGGTCGTCGGAAGTTATTTCCCAGTAGATCTGGTGTTTTCTCTTTTTGCGTTTCTCATGCAGTATAATGACGATGTGTCTAAAAGATTGTTTTGCTTCTTTTGTTTTCATTCAGGTTCTTGTCGGACTACGACGAGCAGTTTCCCATCGCAGACGACGTCAGCCTCCTGCAGCAGGCCCTCCCTGTCATGTATCCTTTGTCTTCTTATCCCTGATCGAAAACCAGTTTGATTGATGTTCAAGCAATTTGGAAAATATACTTTGTGCCTTTAATTTAAAAAATATAAGCTAGATGATCAATTGTTTTTAAATGTTATGTATTTGTCGTCTGTTACTTCTCTCTTTGTCCTAAAGCCAGTTTTTTGTATTAGCAGACAATACAGCCTGTTGGATTACTCGTTTCATAGCCTTGACTTGACTTCCTGCCTCACTCAGTGATGAGACCAGGACGTCCTACCTGCTCCAAGGGGTGGAGAGCGCCTGGGACAGCGTGGGCCGACAGAGACCACAGAGCCACATTCATCAAAAATCTGTAGCAGCCCATCAGGGAGCAGCTGGTGCTGCTGCTGCTGCTTCATCTTCAGCTGGCTTTCAGAAGGTCCCAGAGCCACAAGGAGGACGGGAGAGTCCGCTGGGAGCCGAGGCCATGTTGGAAGTTCCCCGAAAAGGAAACAATGTGAGTTCTGTGGTAATGAGCTCTATTTAAGATGTGCTTTCAACAGCTCAGTGTCATCCTCATTGGTTACCAGCACTTTGAATTCTCACAGTCAGATAACATTGACTTAAGATGCAAAAGGGTAGAATGATGCACTTGCAACTGATTGCTTTTTATTATATTCATGTATCTGATTTTATTTTTTTAAATCTTTTTTTATTGAAAAAGTTTTTAAGAGAATTCTTCATAAATTGTCCTTGATTTGACTCTCAGACCAAAACACAAAATATTCAGTTTAGTATATTATGTATGATAAAGAATCGCATCAATTCCACATATTTAAAAAGGTCAAACTAGAAAGAATTGATTCCAACCTATATCCTGTGGATCTTGTAATCAACTAATTGTTGCCATGGTTACTAAAATGTTCATGAGCCCAACAGAAAAAAGGGAAGCAGCAAACGTCAAATAACTGACCCACGAAAGATGCTTTAGCAAAAACACTTCACATATGTTCAGAGGAACCAAAACAAACCAGAGGAAAACACACGTTTAAGACGATAAGAAGTACAATATTTATCAGAGAGGTGTAAAAAGAAATGATGTCGGTACATTGTATTAATGTTCCTCAGTTTTAGTTGCTCAGAACTAAATATAGAGAATAACTTTGTTCGTGTGGATTTTTCAAAAACAAATGGAAAGGTATTTTAAGTAAATGACATGAGGCATAACAATCTAAATAATGTCTCAAAGGATTCAAGTTATTCCATTTAGTTGTATTTGTACGACACATTTCATAATGTAAGAGGATACATCTAAACACAATGAAAACTATCATTAAAGGAAACATATTCATATTTTAATGATATATTATAGGTTCAGAAGCACTTTTAAAATCCAAAACACATTTATAAAAAGGACCCTGCACCATCCCATACAGCACCATCTCTTCATGATAGAGTAGAAAAGAATGTCAGCTCAATGATACACATTTAAAGAAACAGTAGACAGAGTAATTACTTGACTAAATGTACTTTGTTGTTTTTTTTGGTCTGTGTCTGTCTGTGTGTGAGCAGGGTGCGGGTTGTCCTGTGAGCGAGGCCGAGCTGGAGTCTTTACTGTCGTGTATCCGGGACCTGCTGCCTGATCTGGGGGAAGGCTTCCTGCTGGCCTGTTTACACGAGTACAACTACAACTCAGAGCTGGTCATCAACAACATCCTGGAGGACCGCTTGGCCCCCAACCTGGACAAACTGGACCGAGCCATGCCAAGGTGACAGCACGTTGTGTGATGACAACATGCTAGTATTTCTTTTCTTTGCTTTTTTTTTTTTTTGGATTCTGCTGCAATTGCTGGATTCTACTCTTTTAGGCAAGCTGGAAAGAATGCAATAATTTTTGTTCCTTAATTATCTAATAATCTAATCGTCATGTGGCACTTTTTAAAATTCAGAAGAGTTTGACCAACAAGGACTCATTTTTAAACCTGATTAAATTATTGTTAACTTTAAATGGTGTTCCACTGAAAGGTCACCAAGTAAAACGTCAATGGACCAAAAGAGATTTAATTTAAGTAATGATTGTAAAACCTACATAAACCTAATTTCTTGTGATAGTGTGTTTGACTCCGGCCCTTTCCCGTCATTTCAGGCCGGTGAAAGAGGAGCTTCCGGACGTTTTGAGCGTCAGATCCAACGTGTTTGATGACGACGAGTTTGACATCTTCCGCAGGGACCAGATAGACATGTCCCGCATCTGGAAGGGCAGGAGGTGAGATCATGCAACAAATAACAACCCAAAGCCAAGTAGGATGTTCTGATGCACCTTCTTCTTTCTTAAGCCATCTTAGTCTTTAAGAAATATCTCTAAGGTCAGGTGTAATCCTGCCGTTGCTGCTCTTTCAGGAAAGGAGAGAGTGCTCGAGATATGCTGAATGACAAGCAGCACGTAACAGAGCAGAAAGCACGGTACCAAGCCTATGAAACGGTGGTTGATGAGATCGTCATCGTGCCTGGTGAGAATGCAGAAGCCTACGATCTGGACGACTATGATGACGAGTACGACGACACCTACGACATGAACCAAGTGGGAGCCAACGACCTGGATGGAGACAGTTTACTGAACAGGAGGTAAATCACAGAGCAGGACACTCCGGATACTGAAGTCCTCCAACGTGCATATTTTTTAACTTTATGTTTGTGTGTTTCCTGCAGACCTTTCACAGTCCCACAAGTACTCCGAAGAGGAAACAAACAAGAGGAGGAGGAGGAGGAAGAGGAGGAAGAGCCTATACCGGTACTGAGATCTCTCCTAACAGCAGATCCAATATTACTTAATAGATTTTTTTTTTTGATCCGTTTGAAAGCTCAATTAAAAGGTTTGACCACAAAATATAAACTCAAAGGTTTCTAACCGTTGTTGGAGCAGAATTTTACAGTATTATTGTAACTTAAATGAAGACCATTTGGAGGACACACTGCTGCCAAACGGACAGCAATGCATTAAAAAGTAACATCAAACTACTCTTAGTAAAAGTGATATTTATGTTTAATTCTAACCTGCAGCAATCCTGTTAATAACGAGCATCACAACTCCATGAAATGTGTTTCATGATTTTTTTTTTCATGATGTACCAGCTCCACTCAGCTTTCCAAGTGTTAATGTCCCGAGTGGTGCAGAGTTTAAATTATGTCACATTGTATCAAAGATTTAACACACCACATAGAAATAAGTTATTTTTTCACACATTCCAGTTAGCTATGTGTAACACTATGTTCATGTCATTTTGTTTGCTTTCATGTTTAATTTCTGGTCATGTGATAACATGAGACTCTTGTTTGATTTTTCAGAACAATGTAAACAGGGACCAGTTTGTGCAGGACCCAGCCCTGCTGAGAGAGAGGGCTGAAGCTAGAAGAGCTGCCATGCAGCAAAGGAAAGGGTAAAGTCCATGCAGTCTCAGTCTGACATTTAGCTTTCCATCCTGTTTTATTGGTCAATGTCTCATTTTGAGGCAACTCTCTTATTTTTACTTTTCATCCTTCCCTTTCAGGTATCGACCTGAGCGTCCCGGTAATGTGGTTGGCCAGCCAAAAGGCCAAGGACAAACCCTGGAGACATTCCTGGACCGGCGTAAGAAGGAGGCCAACAAGAGCCGAGGGTCGAATCACAACCGGCGCAGCATGGCGGACCGCAAGAGGAACAAAGGCATGATCCCGTCCTGACCTGTGTGACAGACGGCTGCTCAATCCAAACAGACTGATGGTCGGAAGGAGGGGGCGGCAGGAAGGTGCGAGTTCGTGAAGGGAAAGATAAACCGGGGCTTAGTTGTTTATCTTGGTTAAAGGTTGTGAATTTGGTGGCAGTGTTTTGTCCCAATAGCCACACTTAAGCCACGAGGCCACTGTCTTTCCTCAAGGAAAAAGCAACAGAAGGTTTTCAGTTGGTAACTAGAAGTTGCAGCTGTTTGTTGACTTACTTTGGTTCTATGTGATCAAAAGTTGCCAGCAGCTTGCCCAGAAGTTTGAACATATTTTATAGTTTGAGCCTAAATGATGTTTAGCTCTTTAGCTCAAATGATTTTCTTTTATTGCAGATTCAAATAATCAAGTCCTGAGTGGGACTGAGGACAAAAAATAAGATCTTTATAGTTGCCAAGTAACAAATCAGTTTATTAACAACATCCAAAGGGATCCACTGAAGTTTCTTTGACATCATCATCATCATCATATATACACATAGGAATAAATGGAAGAGAAATCCAGCGGTTGTAACAGAGACTGCGGTCGCTTCTCTAGCTGGAAGAACAATTACTGACCTGGAGATCAACTCTGTGTAACGCTCTCTCGACTCACCCTGTCATTGTAGCTTGTGTGAAGGCTGCCTTGCATGTGACGTTCAAGTGCACGCAAGTGATGTCATCCACCATCCACCAGCCTTGTTACAAAAAAAAAAAAGAAGTCTAAAAGGGTAAATATGACCATCTCATATTGATGATGCTGTTGTGTTTGTGTTTGGAAGCACGTGCTGTAGAGGAGGGGTCGAGCTGTGGGAAGCCTTCCTCCTACATGTAAACACACACACACACACACACGCACACTATTTTCTATGAAGAGAACACATCTATCAGAGCATTTTGTAACAAAAGAAGCACTTGGAGTTGCCTTTTGGAGTTGACAATGCAAAAAAACAAATTAAAAACAATTTGTTTTGACATCTGTCAAGTTTGAGTCCTTACTTTGGAGATGTTTCAGAAGACGACCCACAGTATACTGTTTGTTTATTAAATAGTCATAACTTTTTTGTATACAAATCTTTAAATAGAACTTAACAAAAAACATTTTTCTTTAGAAGTGTCCTACTGTACCACTCTCATTTCAGTTTCATTGCAGGCTGTGTATTAGCATAATGTCTGATGTGAAAATTGTCAGGGAAAAAAAAATCTACAACCTGTCTTTTTTGGTTTGTTTATGTATAAACCGGTTGTCACACATTGTGACCTTTAAGGATAGTCCGACTAACTGTTTCAGCCTTCATGCTTAGCTATGATAATCAGCTGCTGGTGTAGCTTCATATTTACTGTCCAGACATCTGAGTGGTATTGATCTTCTATTAACAAAAAAAATGCCCCCCTCCTAAATGTCTGACATTCTTCTGTTTCTTAGATCTGAAAAAAGTAATGATATTAAGACGATGCCATTCTTGACAAAAACTATGACTGCGTGTGTTTAGATTCAACATTGCCAGTATGGTTATTATTAGGATTACCTGTGCAGCTGTATGTCAGCAGGGGGCTAAGATGAATGTATGATGAATGATGAATGTAAAGACCTATCATTAGATGGTCTAAAACCTTCAAAAGAAATGGTAAGAATCACACTCAGTTATGGCCACAGACTCATGTTAAACACTGTATCACTTCCAGTTTAAAATGAAATCACAATAGCTTCTTTAACTGTAACATACTGTAACTGATTCAAGTTTAAAGTGTTCATGAAGAAGTTCATGGTTTGGGTTTCTCTCTAGTTCAGTTATAAGGCAGATTTAGGACAAATGCAAACACTTTAACCATCTGCTCCGGCATTAGCTTACTTAACTTCTGGACAACTACACAACCTGTACGACTAACATTTAAAAGCTAAGCGCGTGCTGGACACCAGAGCTTTCAGGTTTAAACTCTTAGTCCACTTTAAAGTTGCTTTTAACATCATTTGGACCTAAAGTGACATTTAAACTTAAAGCCTGTTAATCAGTCATATTTAAAAACCAAAGCTTATAATGGTCATGCAGAAACAACTGATTTCAAATACTTGCTCAGGGTTATCAGTGTTCACCGCTTAAAGCCAAACATATTGTAGCTCTGCTGTTCATACAAAACTCAGAGCTCAAGATTTATACATGAAGAGTCACACTGAGCACTAACACCTTCATGAGTCACATCTTCACTGCTGTAGATCAGCCAGGACAAACACATATATCAACTATTGTACAGTAACATGATCCCAAGAAGAAGTACTGTTCACACACAACAGTACCACTACAGTACTTTAGAGATTCTTCTGTTATACTATATACTATGCATGTCTGTGAGAGCAGCGGGGTGTCAGACGTCAGAATCAGACCGCTCTACAGTCCAGACGTCCAACCAGCTGCTGAGGAGTTTGTGTTTATGCTCCAAGGGTCCATCGCTGAGGTCAGTTTAAAAAAAAAAAAAAAAAAAGAAGGCTACTGGAGTGACACCGAGGAAGAGAGGAGATCTGAACAGCCGTCGCTGCTGCAAGAGTCCTAAGTGGGCCAATCGTTAACTGTCTTTGCAGACACTGCCTAAAGAGGGCGGAGAAAACAAACAAACATGTTAGGTTAAATAACAAACCTATAAATAGATTCAGGATTCATCAGATTGACTGAGAAATGAAACTGAGTAGCTGTGGATATTTAACTGTTACTCTGCGACTGATGTGTTATGAATATGTTGAATAATTGACATAAGTTTCCTGCAGAAACATTTTTACAGATGTGCAATATTGCTACTGCTAATGCTCATCCCATATAAATGTCACTTCAGAGCTTAGAGGAGAAAGTGGGGCTGAAGAAGATCTCATTTGGATTCCTGGATCCTTCGATGATATATCTATTTTTTTTTTTTTAAACTGACTCCCTTTGAGCCTGGTGTTATTTCTTCATTCAACAATCTACATAAGCGCAATGTAGTGTAAATGAACATGATACTGAGACTCACTGAGGATGCTGCGTTTGCACAGAGGACAGGTGTGATGCAGCAGCAGCCAGGGGTCCACACACTCTCTGTGGTACTCGTGAAGACACGGCAACACTCGCAGACACTAATGTGAAGAAAACAACACGAGACAAGTTTAAATCGTATCACCGCTGAATCGTCTGTTGTTTTACAGTTTGTATTTCTCTAAAACTTTTTCCATGATCTCAATATTCAACAAAATGTAGATTCAAAAAACCAAAACCAGAAGGACTATTTGATTCCACTCCCCTACCTCACCGTCTTGGATTTCAACAGGGAGATATTAAATACAGGATGTAAACTCGGAGGGGGGTTGTGGGATTGTTGGCTCACCTGGTTGTTGTTGAACGGCTCCAGACACACTGCACAGTTGTCCGTCTCTGCCGGCTGGGTCGGGTCACACCACCGCTTGGGCTGACAATAAGTTTTCGTTTTAAGTGACGACATTCTTTTCAGGACGTCCTGTTTTGGGAGGAGCTGATCAAAAAAATAAAATAAAATCAGAACATCACAGAATGTGTTACCTAAATGTGCGATGTGCAATACTTCAAGGTCAGAGTTTTTTTTAGTATGTAACATTTATAAAGTATGTCATGTGTGTCCCCCCCCCCAACACTTTCTAAAGTCATAACATAAAGGGATATAAGGTGCAGTACATGATTGTATAAGTCAAAAAGTTGGCTGATGTAGAGTCAGAGTTCACCTGCAGGTCATCGTGGAGCTGCTGGTCCTGGTACTGCCATCGAGCCTGGACAATGACTCCAGTGCTGATGATCAGAGCCACCAGCAGGACCGTGTCCCACAGCTGCTGCAGGTATTTCTACCCACACAAGCAGAGAAACATTCTGTGTTATCATGGCTCATTTCAAAACTGTCAGTGACACAGTCTGTAACAAAAAAACACAACTTTTTGGTAACGGAGAGAGGAAAATAAGCTGCCGATTATGCATCAGATTTTGCGATACACTCAGCTCACTTGTAGCATTTTGATTCTATATTAACAATGTTATTGCAACTTAAATTTGTGTTATTTGTTTTCATAAACCTTATTTTCTTGGTATTACAATATTAATTAATATACTTTACAGCTAATTAAAAAAACGACAGTTATTTTTTTTTTTATGTTTGTATCCAAAAGGGAAATTGTGAGAGAATGGATGAAATGAGGAGCCGTTTTTAGTCAAGTTTAGTCAGCTCACTTTTTCCAAATCTTTTCCATTTATAAAACTTGTACTTTCTCACCTAAACTACCACCGACTCAAGTTTTGCTGCAATAAATACTGAATGAATCCATAAGACAACTACAGGCACAATAATATATATTCATTCAAAGACTGTAAGAACTGTATTGTCCTACATGATTAACAGTGGTGTTGGTGTGTTTGTTCTGCTTCCCCACCTGGACCTGGGAGTTGGTCTCCCCCGTGCATATGACCCCCTGCCACTCCCCGTAGCGACCTCCTCTCGACCGCCCGCAGCTGGACCACAGCGTGAGCGTGGCTCCCTGCCCGAACACACAGCAGTATTCGCTGTCAGCTCAGCCTGTCATCGGTTCACTCACCACTAGAGGGGGCTAATAACTCATGAAACACACTGACAGCTGATAGACTGAGGTGCTCACCAGGTTGTCCTGTAAGATTGTCCTGTAGGTGATTTTTGCTGTCGCTTGAAGACCCCTGTAGAGAGAGAAAACTTTTGTAAATGAAGGTCCTCATACATTACAGCCAAAGAGAGGCTGTAGACTTTGCAGATAAAAGTACTGGTAGTACAAATATAATATGACATACAATACTACAAGGATTTCAGGATGTCTGTGTTTTTGCTGTTTGTCACACTGATGAATTACTGACAGTAGATCCACGGTATAAACAATAATAACTAAATGCTTAATAGGAAGATTCTAGACTTTGACTAGAGTTATGGCTGTGAATCGCTTAGCAGTGTTCCACACAGCAGTGTTATTAGAACAATACTCGTAAAGCTATTTCTAAAAATATAACTTCCATTTTAACAAAATAAACCAATCTATTTTGTCATCACCGATCAAAGCTGTTCTAAATTGGTTAAGAAACTACACGACCAACAACATAAAATTCATGATTTTCTCATTTCAAGCAGGAAATATCAGATCAGACATTAAGTAGATAAGAATAAGAGAAATCATAGTCGGTGTTTGAACAAAGTATAGACACAAATTAAAGACACAGAGAGTGAAGTGACTAGTTGATATTTGAGTGTAGATCAGGTGGATTCATGTAGATTATACTGGCCTAGAATAATCCCCAAATAACTTTGAACAATAGCGTTAAAGTGTGGAAGCATGTGGCATGATTAATTAACTTATCTAAATTTAAAATGTAAAGTCAAATTATTATTTTTTGGTGATATGAGTGGAAATGTGCTTTTGAAAGAGCCTGTTTCCATTTTGGTAGTTTCTGTAAAAAAGAAAAAAAAAAAAAAAAAAAGGTGTTCTTTACCTGAGCAGAGCTCCAATCAGCTTTGTGACATTTTCAGAAGTCTGGATCACAATGATGGGCTTAGAAATCACCTGAGACAGATCCATCTACAGAAGAAAGAATCACTCACAGAGACTGTGCTGACTTATTCGGTTTCAGAACATCATGATAGAAAATGGAGAAGAAAAAGAAAAGGCGTCCAGATTTACCTCACTGACAGTGTTTTGGTTGAGAGCCAGTATGATGAGTGCAGACGCACCAAGGACCAATGCTCTCTTCATCTTGGGCAGAGATAACCCACATATAGGTCAGGGCAAATAGGTATAGGTGCCAGTAACAACTGAATTCAAATACAGATATTTAGTACAGCATATTGAATGACTTACTTTATTAACCATGGCATCAGCAAAGGACTCTTGGTTTCCTGTGGAGGCTTTGTTGTCATCCATCTCCACAGGCACCAGCCCGATCCATGGCTCATGCTCTTTGGTGTCATCCTTGTGTTTTCCTCCTCTCACCTGAGTCTCCTCATCCTTAAACTGACGACAGAAATCAGACTAAATAGCTAAATCAGCTGTTTATGACAACATTTACATCCATCTTGTGTGTGGTCTCAAATCTCCCTGTTTTCACATTTTGCTAGATTATCAAGAGGGTACAGAAAATCACTCGCCCAGTATTCGTCTAATATTAGCCTCAATGTGACACACTCACAAGGACCAGCTCTCCCTGCAGCTCCTCTTGGTCGTCGTCCTGGAGCTCAGGGGTCTTGCTACCCCCGCTGGACTCCACCACCTCTCCCTCGAGCAGAGCGCTGACACCGGGCCGCTGATCCAGGAAAACCTCCACCACAGCGACCTGCTCCGCGGCGACCATCAACCCGGGACACCGGAGAACCAAGAGTAGAAGTAACGTTACCCAGAGACAGCCCCCGCTTTGAGTTGAAGCCATGGCCCGGAAGACAACAGATTTAAAAAAAAAAAAAAAAAAAATACAAGCTGTACTGTCAATCGCAGAAATTAATCAACTGTTCCCAGTCATGATAGAAGACCTGCTAGATTCGTCAAAGAATGTAAACAAGAGAGACAACTTCCGGCTGTGACCGGAAGAAGCGATGGGATTATTATCTTGTTCACAAGCGTGTCATTATCTTGAACACAACCCGCATGGACCTATGGACTTCGGGGGCATCGGTAATAATACACTGTAGGCTACTAGTTAATTTGTGTCAGCAGACTTTGTACCGTCCTGCTGCTAAAAAAAACAATATAAGCATGAAATGCAGCGACAGTTTAATCATTTATCTCGTAAAACCAAAGAGGGTTGTAACGAACTGAGATATTAACCCTGTACTTCCTTATTTGATTTAGCCTTGACGCAGATCATCTGTATGCAAATGAAATGCACTTTCAGACTAGCGTTTCACTTGACATGGAGGGAAATTATTATTAGTTGACATTTACAATTTTCCGGGTGAGCTGTGAAAGCAAGAAAAAAAAAAGAATAGTGCCTGCTGCTCTTTGCGCATGCTCATTGAGACAAAGTTATATAATTTTGTCAAATGATTGGCATAAAAATGTTTTGTATTGAACCTCAAAGGTTAGCCTGGTGGTTTATGAAAAATACCTGCGAAAACTCGAGAAATTATCTTTGCACGCGTTTAATGCGTGCTGTTGTTGTTGTAATTTGCGCATGTGTGACGTTTCGGATTAACACAAAGATTGTCTATTGTCTCATCATTTGAGATTGATCATACAATATTTTCAAAGACTGAAAGTAAAATAAAATTAAGTAATGAAGAGTTAGAAAGTTACATTTTCTTCTGAAAGACTTATTTAATCAAGCGTTTGCAAACAGTTAATTGAATCTGGAGATGTTATTATATGAGGGGAAATAGTTTCAATACTTTATGAAGTTTACAATCAGGAGATTAATCCCTGCCCATTTTATGTGTTTGAGTTAATTATAAGCCAAATATTGAAATTCAAAATCAAAGTGATGCTAATGTCTCACTTGAATTTTCAGTCAACAGGAAGGTACAAAATGCCAAATGTGGTATGTGTAAATATTTCCATTTGAGATGTAGGGGAGTAAAAGCACCGTTGCATTAAAAGAAAAATACTAAAGTCAAGGCGGCCAACCTTTACACCATGTGAATAAAATGTTGGCCCTAGTCAAACTTCTAAACTACATTAATTTTACGACTGAACATACTAATTAGGCTAACAAACTTTCTTTTTTGGGGTGACCAGCTGTTTAAATTGTATCGTGGATTCTCACTTTATAAATGATTATTGAAACTGTACCCTGTTGAGGTCAAAAGTAGTCTATTGGTTAGGCTTCATTTTCAAATACATAAAGAAGCTTTTTTTGGAAAGGAAGCTGGACCTTTTTTTTTTAAAATTATTTTTGCTCCACCTTTTTTTTTTTTTGTGACGAGTGATCCTCTCAACTGTTTCCCCATCTTTGGCCGAGTCAGCTGGTTGGACGATATCTTTGACAGCCTCTTGTTTACATGTTTCATCCTTTAGCAGTGTTTCCACCTGCAGCCCGGCGAGGAGAAGGGAGGACAGCAGCCGTTAGGTGAATGAGCATCACAAGGAGACGTCCCCCGCCTGTCACGGATAACAGTGACGGTGTTGTTTCCCTTTCTGTTCAGTCTACTGGACGCGGCTCCGTCTGCAGCGTCTGAATATCTCCTGGTCGCAGAAATGAGTGGGAGAGTGGGAGACCTGAGCCCTAAACAGGCAGAAGCACTGGAGCAGGTAACTAAGACTAGAATAATATTAATACTGTTTAAAGCTACTTCCGTATCCTCGTATCTGTTACATAATCAGTAAAACTCGTCGTCTATAAAACACCGATTATCTAAATTTAGGCAAATGTGAATAATGTTGGATTGTTTTACAGATCCGTATGTTGTTACTAATAATATTTGTTGACCACTGGTGGCACATTTACCATATATCTCTGAGGAACTATTATTATTATTATAACTATTATTTGAGTATAGGCTATTTTCATTGATGCACCTAATAATAGCCTGCTTCACTGTACTTGACAGCCTTACTTATTTTCTATTCAGACCAATGCCAGCGTGAGAAATACAGCCTAGTCCTAATCATGATGAACAAAATACTTATAATCTTTCAACTAAAGGCCCTACTTGAGTAGTCCCTTGGCAATTGTTTTGTTTCTGTTTTATGTAGCCTAAATACAGAATCACCTTGATTTCAGTTTTTCTATCACTGAAACTATATGCTACATTTTCAATGTTAGTGCAATACAAAATAGAGATCAGGTCTTAATAGATGATCAGTGAAGGCATTATTTTTCATTAGTTTATTTGCATGAGAAAAGCTGTAATATAAGACATTGTTTTTCTTGACTTTATAATGTCTTTGTTTACTTCCACATCATTGTTTTTAATGTCCTGAATAGTTAGTTTGCTGTGATTTGTTGTCATATCAAAGTATCATACCTATAACTTGAGGCCCAATGTTGAATTCCACCATATGGCTCAAAGTAAGTTGACACATAGTTCACTTTGTTTTACATGGTCAGGTCCAGGCTTTTACAGTCAAATTATGACCCAATCTCTATGAGAATAGTGCTTCCAACTTTCCTGTTTTAAACCTGACTATGATGCCATTCTCTAAAGCGGTACTTTCCAAGTTTAGTGTCAAGAAACATCCAATGAGTCGCCACTTCATCCCTGTGCAACTCTGTATTGAAGAAAAACTCCTAAGATAAATAAATCATCCATAAGAAATTGATCTTAGGATAACTGTTAACCCACATTTTCTATTATTTTTAAGCCAAAGAATTTACGACAAAAAAACACGGGTCCTCATGCTCTGTTCTGGTGTCCTCATGTTTTTGGTTGTGCACTGTACTAGATGAAACTTTTAAGTGTCCTGACTCACGTGGGTTGTCTTGTTGACTGTTTTAATCTGTATGCAAAACATTTCTAAATTCATCCGTTGTTGAATATTTAAAGCGTGTAAAATAATTAGTCACAGAGTCATATGTTTCACCAGTATCTGGAAGTATGACCTACTAATCATCTGAAATGAGGGGAACTAAACACGCTGACTCAAAGAAAAACACTGTATGTCAAGTCTGATGTTTACCACAAGAATAATAACTATAACTGGAAAAGGTAGTTAAACTTTTCGCTGAATGTCTTTTATCAGAATCAAATCCTTTTCTTGGCTCACTTGCAAAAGAAGTCGATCACTTCTGTTCCTTTTTTCTCTGGCTACAGTTTCGAGAGAGGATACAAGATATTCTTCCTCAACTTCCTGCCCAGAATGACCACTTCTTGTTACGTTGGCTAAGAGGTGAGTTGCCTTTTCCAGGACCACAGGTCACCATCCTGCAGAAAAAGCAAAACCTTTCCAATGATTCACCATTTTTATGTTAAATTAGAAATAATTTGCCGATGATAATTTGATTTAAATGTGAAAAATGTGGTACAAATGCCGTTGTACTTGTGCAATAAGCAGAAGCTGCTGTGGGTTTTTTTTTTCCACCAGAAAGAACATGTGGCAACTAATTCAAGCAGCCCTGTGCACAGTGGTTGAGAAAGAGACTCACATGGTTTAAAGTGTGAACATAAACCACAAACCAAAGCCTGTTCTGTGACAAATCACTCAGAAGGAGCTAAGCAAGACAAGATGGGGTTTTTCTGTCATTCTAAATGGGCCCCATTCACACGGACAACGAGCAGCCAAACATACAAATACAAAATACATTCGACATTAAAAGAGACAAATAAGAAATCCGAACAGCAAATGTTTGTGAATTTGTGAAAGCAGACATACTTTCTTTCTTGCCTTCTGTACAGTAATGTTTGCTTTATGGCAAGCAAGAGTGAGAAACTCGTTGTTGTCTCGTAGAAAGAAGAATTGTCTGAATGAATAATGAACAGTTACTATAATACTCAGTGATATTAAAATAGATATGACTCACAAAGATTTAGAGATTTGGACTGCAAAAATACACTTTCCCTCTTAGATGAAGTGTGGCTAGAGCATGCTCTAATTAAATGTATGACAGAAAAAAGAAGCAGAATGAACATTACCTTGAACTTGTAGTCCACTTCACTGTTCGGGTATTAGAATAATTAAAGCCAATTTCTCACATTTGACCTACAAACATGCTAACTTTGAAAAAAAAAAGTTTCTCTGATGAATGACAGGCTGTTCAGATTTAAATGAGCAAGTAGACTTGTAGATTACCATGACGGTTACAGAGGGATCACTTCACCCCTCATCTCTGTCACAAGTCTACCATAAAACTCATCACTCTTAGCTTGAGTAGTAAGGGAGCTGATCACCTTATTATAGGTATACTATATTTATCTAACAAATTAGATAAACGTATGGGAATTCATCCTTTTTAGTTGACTTTTTGGTTATTGAGGGACCATGTACAAAACCTAAATAAATCTCAATTAATGAGAGCAGATGCATTGCTCCAGATTTAGCTGATCAGCTAGATTCCATCTGCAGTCCCTAGGCAGGTATACACATAAAGGATACAAAATACAATACAAAAGTCATCAAAAATAAATATGATTACCCCCCAAAAATGTGATAATATAAACAATAATTGTAGGTCATATTGTCCTGGTTTGGAAAGAACTATGAACCCCAACATGAATTGCATCTAATATGAAAAGGCCTTCAGAAGTCCTACGTGATACTTCCTGAATCCTGCAGAAACTCTGGTTTTGGTTCTGCATTCAGGCACTGGAGGAAATGTGGAGCATTGATTAAAGCAGGCCTTGTGCTGATTAGATGTGCATTAGAGGTCTAGCTCTCTGTGTATCAGGCTAATCCAGGCTAATCGTATTAAAAGGCCCACTACAACGGACAACAGCCATTCTGCCAGGAGACACTCTTCGACTGTCCTCCTGTTGCTGTACTGGGCTCATTCAATGATCATTCATTCAGAGTGGCAGTGAAGGTGAATGATCATTAATTTGATGAAAATACATTGTTGGAGTCTAGGACTAAATTGTGCCTGTTTATAAATTAAGTGAAATAATATTAGCAGAATTTGTGATGTAAAGAAAAAGCAAGGTCCTCTTTTGGATCTGAAGCCATTTGCAGTTGAGGTCTTCTGAGCATTTGTTTTCTCATTCAAGAAATAATGAAGACAATTCTTTTGTCCATCAAATGCTGCTTTTAAAACAGCAGTGCAGCATTAAGAGTAAATAGAGGGGAGAGCAAACTGAAGTTAAGTCTGAATCTGATTACCCTGACTTCTTTAGATATCCAGCAGACTTACCAACTTTGTTTCAGGGAGGCAAATGAGAGCATTCGTTGTATAAGTGTAAACTTTATAATCAGAATCTGTTTTGTTGACCAGGCGTGTTAACATACAAGGAGTTTGACTCCGGTTAACATTGCTCTCTATGCCTGTGTAAGCTGCCCTTGCGCAGCTTACATGATGACACTGAACACATCACAGTATGTATGACGATGTCAGGCAGGGTTTTGCAAGTTCAGATATTGGCACCCTACTTATAAACTATCACAGTTTATGACCTTCAGTTTGTGCCTTGAATTAAACAGGATGTGCTGAGCTGAAGTGTGACTGATCCCGTTAGAGTGTGCTCCTCTCATATGACAGAAGATGGCTTGTACTGGAGGCCAATAATCCTCTTCTTAGCAGAAGCAGCTAAACACATGTTTTTCTACATCTGTCCCAAAGATGACTCTCACTCTTAGACTGAATCTCTGAGAAACTCCACGCTTAGACATAAAGGAACAAGTGTATATGACATCAATGTGATCTTAAGACTGTACTTACTTTATCAGTAGTTCTGTAGTGTCACACTGCAGTCCTGCATATTGTATCAGAGTTCAGTGAAATAGACCTTTGTACCTTGACCCCTCTTCAAGCTCTTCTTAAGCAAAGTTTTAGTCAACAAACAATTGTCTTTGGACAAAAAAAATGCAATTCTCACCAAATCTATATATATATGTGAAAAAGCATAATTTACAACTGACTTTCAAAGAATGATGCTTTAACAATGCTGCCTTCTCACCTGCATGTTAGGTAAATCTTACAATTTTATGAAAACGTATCGTATGGATGGCTCTTCATGGTCACAAAGTGCACGTTTTCCCTCTAAGGACACAGGTTGGATCATAAAAACTGGCCAAGAGTTCTCGCCAAGTGTTAGACCCCAGTGTTAAAGGTTGATATCTTTGAATTTCATTAGATAATAATCTAATGGGTTACCTCTTACCATGCACCTTTATCACAGCGTAAGATAATGTTATTGCAGTAACATAAGGAAGAACCCTCTATAAAAAACAGTCAGTTCTGCACCTTTTGTTTAATACAACAGTTTTTTTCACCCCACTTTTGGATTCAGCACATAATGCTGTAAAAGTTATGGTAGCTGCATGGGTAGACATCTCATATATTTTGCTCTTGTTTAGATTGGGGAAAAGCCTCACCAGAAAATTCTGAAACCATTGTCCCCTTTCAGGGCAGTGTGTGTATATAATAGTTAAAGGGTTTTAAATTACAAAAGAACTGTACATACATGGGTGTGGGGTAATCCAATCATAACCCTTATTACGAACTCAAATTCCACTACAATACAGGGCCTGGCCATTTTCTAAAACCTGTTTTATAATTGGAACTCCCTTTGTGCCCTCTTTCTAACTCCCCAGTTAGTATACCAAACTGTAGCATTATATACAGCGAGTGTAATCCAGAGCTGGGCTGAGTCTCAGCTCATGGCAGCAACTCTCACTTCAGTCAGAGTATGAGACAGTAGAGCTTCTGTCTTGGATGTTATTCAAGTTTATTCCCAGAGGGCCTTTGTTAACATTACGAGAGAGGATATTACGAGATTCTAATTTTTAAGGTTTAAAAATGAAGCTATTTGTTTTTCATGTGACCACGTTAATTTTGGTAATTTTCCGGTAGCTTCCAATGGTGGTGGTTCACGTTAGTTCTAAGAAATTTATATCATGAATTAGAATTTTTCCATTTAGAAAAAATACCCCTCCTGAAACCAAGTTGCAACATCCCGAGGTGTCAAAGCTGCAGTTCCTCAAATGGCCATTTGAGGCTGGTCGCAAAAAGCAAGTAAACCCCCATTAAGCCCAATATCAAAACTCCAGCTTTACAGCAGTATTTAAAAAAGAAAAATTGGATCTATGTTGCTTTTATCCCTATTTATGAAAACTGAACGGGTTGAATAGTCCAGTTGCTTAAATGCTAAACTGGAGGCTACATCCACTTTTATGTACAGTCTATGTTTGAAACATGGATTCTCAGACTCGCTAACAGAAAAAAACAATAAGAAATGATAACTTAAAGGTGTGTTGGGATGCCTCCTAATCTTTCTCTAAATTGTTTAATTAGTATTTCAGGGATTTCATCCGTTAAGCAGATTTAGGTATGAGGTCATGCAGAATGAGTGCTCAGATCATGTCTAATGTTTCCAACAGCTCCTTCTCTTGTAGGCTGTCTTGTCTTATACACATTCACATACACTTTAAAAAACACTTAATCATATTTTGTATTTAATTCATTTTATTACAACAGAAGTCTAATAGCATCAAAGATAACTCATCTTTAAAAACATTACAAACAGATCCTGCTTGTTTCACTTTGCGTTTGCTTAACTTAACTCTTTATAATTGTAGTTTCTACATTTTAAACCCTTTTTTATTTGCTTTACCTTCTCTTTTGTTTTCATCCAATTCTTCCTCTTCCTCTGTAAGGCACTCTAACGTGTTTTAAAATGTGTTTTATGAATAAACTTAGCTTGCTTAGGCTACAAAAGAAGTTGTAGATTAGTGGAGAATATACTTTAACAGTAGAACTATGTGGTTCTCTGATAACCCTCTCTGACTAAATATCTTTAACATCTGATATTTAACACCATCGTCTTTTCATTATCGTACTCTTTTTCAGCGAGAAACTTCAACATCCAGAAGTCTGAGGCCATGGTGCGAAAGGTAACATATTAAACTTCTCTTTTAGGTTAAACAGGACATTCATTAGTATCAGCTTCAGTCGTTCTCTTGTAAGAGAGAACAAATCATTCACGACTGACTGAGAGAAAACCACAGCGAACTCTGTTTCAGTGAACTTGTGTGGTGAAAGTTCAGTTAGCACCGGCACAGACTGTTCAGCTCAGGGGTGGCTGCTTATTAGAGCCGAGCTGCTTGGTAACGGTTCACTACGGGGAAACTGAGTCATCACAGCCGCCTGAGGAGATAAGATATGGATAATAGAGATTAAATGAGAACTTAAGGAGACAGTACAATACAAGCAGCTAACTGAAAGCTATATTTTGCGTATTCTTGTCCACTAGGGAGCACAAATCACACATTGTAATAATCTAATCTGTATATGTGTAATCTGTCAAAGTTGTTAAGGTTAGCTGCCTACTAAGTACTCATTTTAAGTCATGCTTCAACCCACCTAAGAACTCAAATAACTTGCTCTTGTTAGTTCTTCAATGAAACCCGAGAAACATATCTTGCTCTTCAGATGTTCTATGCTTGGCTAATTCATTCCACTTTATCTCATCTAGAGATGGGGGGTGGAGGGGGAGGGGGTGCTAAAACATCCACTGTGCTCTTTGGTAGTTTAAATTATTCATGCAGAAGTCATCAAACTAATGACGCCATACAAATAATCTGAAATACACCTTCATCACAAACACCTTGGTTATACATTCACTTGTTGCTGCTAAAATGATTTTGGGCTTCTAATGATGCCTTAATTCTTTATCTATCAACCAGACTTAATACAAATATTCACATCTAGATATTTAATGGCATGGGAACCACTTATAAGATCTCCTTCCCTATGGTGGTTGAAAAGGGTATTTGCATGAAAGTGTTTACTGTAGTGAGTGTACACAGCAGTGTACAACTGATCCCCTTCATGCTGACTGTCAGGTGTGACATCACCTACTGTCTGAAACCTCCTAAGCCATTTAAATCACTAGACTGTGCAGGGGCAGATCTGCAACTGTCCAAGCTGTCTACTAGGTAGTTAGGCTATTAACTTAACTTAATCTTCTTACTACTTATTACAACATTTTGAAAAACTGAACATGCTACTTCTCTATTTTCTTTCAGCATGTGGAGTTCAGGAAACACATGAAAGTGACACAATTACCACAGATTGGCGTCCACCAGAGGTAAAAACCCTTTGAAGCATAATCTACTGCAGATGAATTGTACATAATGGAAATGTATGGAATATGTTTTCTTTAATAAATGTGTCAGAAGTTGCCTTTCTTCACAAATATCCAAGCGTTGTAAACTTTAAAATGTCTGGTGTGTGCAGGTGATAGAGAAGTACCTGTCCGGAGGGATGTGTGGTTATGACCGGGAGGGCAGTCCCATCTGGTATGATGTCATCGGACCCGTAGATCCCAAAGGCCTCTTCCTGTCTGCATCGAAGCAGGACTTCATCAAGTCCAAGATCAGAGACTGTGAGATGCTGCGCAAGGAGTGTACCCTCCAGACACAGAAGGTAAGAAACCAACGTCAGAGTTAGGAGATAAAGCACTCCTGTTCATACTTGATACTGAAATGTGTCTTGAGATAAGTAGAAGTGGTGTTTATACTGCTGCTACAATGAAAACACAATGAGAAGGCAGTCTGGTTTGATTATTTAGCTACCCTAAGGATATCCATTACATCACTTGTTCCCATTGTGAGAATCGGGATCACCACAACAGGATTTGATGTTTAAGAGATTTCTTTAAAGGGGTCACTAGATTATTGTTTACATTTCTCTTTATGGATTTATATACATATATAGAGATTTTTTCTAGGATTATATTTTGTGTCTGTCTCTTTCTTCAACCAGCTTGGGAGGAACGTGGAGTCAATCACCATGATCTATGACGTTGAAGGTCTGGGTCTGAAACACTTATGGAAGCCTGCTATAGAAACATATGGAGAGGTACAGATAGACACACACATACAGTGTAGATGTTCACCTCATTAAACTTAAACATGATACAGTATATTAGGTTCGTCTTGATCCCTAAAATGTTTCCTCTATGCCGCCAGATCCTCCAGATGTTTGAAGAAAACTACCCAGAAGGCTTGAAAAGGCTGTTTGTGATCAAAGGTATGTATGTCTTCTTACTCCATAAAGGTATTGTAAACTAACTATAGTCGAGATCAGGGTTGTTAGTGATTCATTGTGTATTTATCTTGCTGGTGAAAACCTTGTGGTTTCCCCCTGCAGCTCCCAAACTCTTCCCTGTGGCCTACAACCTCATCAAACACTTCCTGAGTGAGATTACAAGACAGAAGATCCATATTCTCGGGGGTAAGACACCACACATTACTGCTTCTTATTTATATTTCACCTTAATACTGAATGCACCTCAAACTAAACACTAATGGCAAAGTGTCGCTTTTGTGGTTTGACAGCTAACTGGCAGGAGGTTTTACTGAAGTACATCGATGCAGAGGAGCTTCCAGTGGTCTACGGCGGCAAACTGACGGACCCTGACGGAGATCCTCGCTGTCGGACGAAGGTGAGTGTGTGAATCAAAAAGCCTAACTGCACTGCCATTGGTGCTTTTTTTTGCTATTAAGGTGGGCTGATGGTGAGTTAGAAAGACAAGTATCTGTTGCATATGCTTTGAGATTATTTTGAAGACACCAGCACTGCATTCATTAGGATTTACTGTATTTCCTTCAAATTATGAACTCACCTTAAAGAATTTGTTCAGTAGGTTGAACAGTCGAGACAGTCCTGTTTAACAGACAGTGATCTGGTACTAAATGCCTAATGTATTAAAACTCTACAATAAATGATTGTCAGATCATTCACCATTTTTGAAGCCCTGCACTAGTCGTTTTAAAATGTCTAGTCTTATCAAGCATTTGAATCATTTCAACAGACTGAGAAATTAAGTTAAAATGGTTTTCCTCACGCAGGGACCCTCAGAGGTCCTTAAAGTGTATAAGTGGGTGCCTAGCAGTTCATGGTCCCTTTTTCTTCCATCAAGAAATTCCACAATGACACACAGCAGGAATATTTTGGTCATTGCTTTCATGAACTTTCTGTTGGGGAAAGACAGGTTGAAGCAGAAATCTGTTGGGGGACATTGGGACAGAGGTTTAGTGGGTCCTTCATATGAAGAAGTTTGAGAACCACTTATGTGAACAATAAAGGAAATATCTAAGGTCCTTTGTTTTCTCTTCTCACTGGAATTTGTGTTTTTGTCTGATGTGACCGACTGTAAATTACAGCACTTCTGTTGCATGGACCTTTGAATCTGTCATTTGACTTCATAGATTTTGAGTCATGCACATACAACAGTTATTGCGCTGTTTGTCAGACAGTGAAATATGAGCCTGCTTTGCATTTTCACAACAATTGTCAGAGAGACAAAGCCGTCGTGCAGTGGATACAAGTCTATTTCTAACCACATCCAATCAGCCCTCCTGTATACAAATCAGACATGCCACTCGGTGCCTAGTCAGCCGACAGTGCACTTGCTTTGGTACATCTACTATGTTTTCATAGGCTTCTAATCCTGCCTGGTAGTGTTAATGCTTTGCAGCTTACAGCTTTGTTGCAGCACAAGCGATGTTGGCTAATATGCATACTGTGTGCACCTGCAATGTTGTGGGTAAAAATCTGACTGGCAAACTACTTCTGACGCGAGTTTCCATCTCACCAGTTTTTCCTGTTACTGTGAAGAGAAAAATACAGATATGATTTGCCTAAACAACAATAACACTGACGGAGTCTGATTCAGGCTACAAACAGGTCAAACTGAACACAGTGTGAATGTTTTCTTAGACTCCTGATCATATTATGTTAACTGTGGTTGTGGAAGGGATCATACAGTATAAAAACCATGTGATCACAGCAGGTCAATGACAAAACAAGGACAATGTCAGACCGGCTGTACAGAGCTGAGATAATCAATACATCTCTACACATGCTAAATGCTTTATCCTGTGACTGTGTGATCAGAAATAAACCAGTGTCAAGGAACATGTGCAAAAAAAGGCATGTCAATTTGGTTGCAGATAGTGTGCTGTGTGAATAAACACAGTTAATGAAGAAGGAAATCCTCCTTATTTAAGCAAAAACCTGGTAAAAAAAAAAAACCCTCTTCATCCCTGCTGCGTTCCTGCCTCCCTGCATAGAAAAAGACGGTGTAGAATTGAGCAGATGCACAGAGAGCCGCAGCTTGAGTAGTCACACTTGACAGATAAAACTCTTCACTGACCCTGTGTTTGTTACTGTCTCTGTAGATAAGTAATTGGGCCCAGGACAGATGAGGAGCAGGAAGAACAGATAATCATTTTGGCTGCATTCAAGACTGAAGGACTTGTGATGCTAAGCTGCCAAGTGTTTTTCCCTGTTTAGCCTTTTCTCTTTTTAACTTTTTAAGCTAGCTGTGTTCGCGTTAAACTATACTGTATTTATTTAAATAGGTTGAGTTAAATTATTAAGGGGTAGTACAATGTTTAATTAAAACGCTTATTCACTTTTTGCTGAGATTTAGATGACGGTATTTACATGCTTTACTTATAAAGAAAGGGGAAAACTATCTTAGCTTATCAAAAATAAAGGTGGTCGGGGGGGGACAGCTTGCCAGGACTAAGGAAGTCTCTGGCTCTTCCTAAAAAAACTCCACATAAAGCAATAATCATCAGACTTTTTTAGGGTTGTCTGTTGGTAGATTTTGGTTTGCAAGGGATGAACCAAGTTTCATTGTCCTTTTGTTTCCATTTAAGCGCTAAGCTGAATATTTGCCTTAATGAGTGATCTTTTTCAAGTGGATGTAAACTAAACTTTTCAATAGATCTAAAAATGTAAAACATTATTTGTTTATCATCGGAAAAATGATAGAAAACCTTTTCTGACCTCGACTTCTGATGTCATAGAAGAATCATGTCAGTTTTCTCAGCAATGTGTTCAGCTTCAAATCTATTTATAGTTCATAATAATGGATCAAAAATCAGTGTCTGCCTGATGACATTTTGCTTCATTATTATGGACTATAACAACATGTTTCTTTTGTTCTTTTTGTAATGGCTGTCTTTCTGCATCTTTTCAGTTTGTTTGTGGCTGTGTCCCAATAACGATACTGATGAATTCTCCAAGCTTTTTTGGAGAAGTGGTTTTACATGACTTCGACTTCCCTTAAAGTAGTTCCCTGTGCTTTTTTCTGTGTGTGTACTAACTTCATCTATTGTCAGTAATATGCCTAACGTTAATCATCACCTGCTGTTTTAATGGACACTTAGTTTGGAATAAATGTATCCCTCTTCCCTGACCTTACATGAGGAACACAGCCCCCTCTATATGTGGGTTTGTGAACTGCACTACTCTAAACTATAGTAGTTAATCGATTTAATTTTTTAAATTAATAAACAGAAAAGTGGTCATGAAAAAGCATTTTCAATTTAGTTTTTTTTTTTGGTTGGGGGGTTGTACATTTACAAGCATTCAGACAATGTCACAAAGTCACAGTAAGTGATGGTTTTCTCTTTCTTCTTATTTCTTGTACCCTCTTTCATACTTGTTTTTTAAATCTAAAAGTAAATCTGTTTAAATAATTATATGATCTTTGTGGGCTGCAGATAAACCACGTTGGCCCAGTTCCCACATCATACTACGTAAGAGACCATGTGAAGGTGGACTACGAGCAGTGTATGACCATCAGTCGAGGATCCACCCAACAGCTGGACTATGAGATCCTGTTCCCAGGCTGCGTTCTCAGGTCAGATAGAAGTAATATTGTCAGTAGTTATTTAAGACCTGAGGAAATTAACTGTTTTACCTATTAACTTATAAATATAACACATACTTTAGCTGGATACTGAATTCATCATCATTAACTGTTTTAAAGCATTTTTGTGTGAATTGAATGTGTTTGAGTATTAGACGGTATCCCCTAAAAATCCAGGTTTGTTGATGTGACTCTTAAGTCCAAGAAAGTGTTTGGGGTGTTTTTTTGAATAAAGATTATGTAGGCCAGTCTAAGGAAAGAGTAAGTACATTTTTAATTATTTTGGATTTAGAATTGTAGAACTTTTACCTGGTTTAAGAATAAATTAGATATAAGCCCTGTAAATTCATCTCCTGTTCAATCTTCTGAAGTCAACTTTCCTACAAATAACATCTTGCTATAAACAATCAATTCTCAAAACATGCAGAATTATGCCAAAAGGCTGCCACGGGTACAAATCTTCTAAAGGCTGTTACAACCACATTTTTTTTCTCCCACATAGGGATGGTAGATATGTAGCTGTATTCATAGAGAAAATGTCAGATATAATTTGATAACTGCTAGCAAAGAAAATTGGAAACACTGTAGAAGGCAGTCATCTGATATATTTACATACATTTAACAGGCATGACTGCAGAAAATCATTAAGAAGAATTAGAGTTAAATTTGTGAACCCAAAAAAATCTTCGTGTTGAAATTATTCATTGACATTTTTCTGAATGTTGTGCATGACACTAAAAATACATACAATTTATTTTTGTAACAAATAACTTTTTTCAAGTCGATAAAGCCATTTTGATAAATGTAATAATATGTATCTCTATCTCCGCAGATGGCAGTTTGCCACTGAAAGTGCAGATATTGGTTTTGGGGTGTTTATGAAAGCTAAAAAGGGCGAATGGAAGAAGGCTGCACAGATGGAGGAAATTGTGCCGAGCCAGCGCTACAACTCCCACTTAGTTCCCGAGGACGGATCACTAACCTGTGAGCGCCCAGGAGTCTGTGAGTAACCAGGTCTTTAACACTTAGCATAGACTATTGTTCAGAAAGTGTTGTGATCTGTTATCATCTGGCCATACAGTAAGTTTTCCTTTGTGTGTGTTTCCAGATGTTTTGAGGTTTGACAACACTTACAGCATCTTCCAGGCCAAAAGAATCAGCTTCACGGTGGAGGTCCTGCTCCCTGACCACCTACAGACCCCAAAGACCCCAAAGACCCCACAGACCCCACAGACCCCACAGACCAACGGAGGGTCCGTCAACGATGTGCAAGCTGAGGCAAACAGCCAATGATATCCAAGAAGATGATACAGTGTGCCACTGGATGGGTAATGTTTGGCCGCACAAGAAAAAGCACACATTTAAATGAACAGGAACTGTTACATGTTGAAACGTGCTGCCTATAAGCCAAAGTGAAATATACGTATTGAATGGAAATGTTAACATCTCAATGTTTGACCCTTTAATTATTTTCAGTTATGACCGTATTCATTTTCAATTTTGCATCCAAAATTTAGTTTGTGTCGAGATGGTTCCCCAGATGCTACACTTCCTTTTTCTTTTTTAGTTTTGAAACCCCAGGTGTTTTTTCCCTGTGAAGCCAATTATTTTATTTTAGCCCAAACAAGGTTCTTGTCCTAAAATCAGTACAGTACAAAATGTAAAGCAGTTTAAAAGTGTTGGTTTGAAAAGTATATGGTAAGGTTTGGGATAAGATTATGGTTTGGGCTTGATAATAAACCAAGAAAGGAATTTATAGGACATGTTAAATATCCCATCTTCTTTTCTATATAGGCCTCTTTGTTTGTTATATCACGGTACATGATCACAAACAATGTGCACAGTTTAATTACAATGCAAACACATGCTGTAGAGTCTTGTAGATCATGTGTTACCACTTAGACGTGACCTGGAGATCACTTTATAAACTTCAACATTATGCATCTGTGTTTAAGGCCAAAACAGCTTAATTTAAATATTGAGGTCACTTTACCACTGTTGAGGAGTACAACTGCATACTTGAAAATAGTTTAGTGAAGTACAAAGCCTGTTGTGGCTGTAGAGGGACCCTCATGGATTCAGCTGCTCGAATTGCTGTCACTTGAGTCAGTGATGCTTTGAAAAAAAGTCTAAGTGAAGTGAGAATAAGTCTGTAGCTTACTGCACTCTAAAATCCAAAACAAATCATTCTGTGGTCATGTTGCATTGTGGGCAATGTAGGCGCAAGGTTTTTGAAGGAAAAGAACTTCATATATAACCATGACCGTCTATGACTATTCACCATGACATAAATCATTCCCATGACAGTCGAAGTCTTATACTGTGTCTTACTTCATGTATTGTTGTGTTATTGTTTGTTTTATTACAGTTTTGAGAATTTAAAGAAATGGTGCACATTTAATTTCTCGTAGGTTTTGCTTATCTTTTGAAAACTGTTTACATTTGTTTCTCATTGGATGAACCTCAGGTGTTTGTCTTTCTCCTTGGACATTCACAGAAAACATTCCTTTGTATGATCAAGCACTTCTAATTTATTTCCAAAAGAGTGTGGGGAGAAACAAAAGATTATTTAAATTAGTCAAATATTAGAGTCTCTATATCAATATATACGATATTCTGTAATACTAAATACTGTTTTTACAGAGGATCATTCATGTTTCAAACAATATTCAATATATCTTAAAACTCATGTTAAATTATTGGCAGTGAACTGAATGTCGAGTGAGGCTGAATTTTCTCTTTATTTTCATATTCAGAATGTAAAAACTCTAAGAGAATTCAAGAGAGACTTGTTGATGATGTGATGAAGGTGTGATGTTAACAGCAGTAAGAGAAATGAATAAATCTGTTGACAACTCTCAAAATGCCAGCTGAAAGTGTTTTTAATTCCTCCTTTTTTAAGTCTTTTAAACAATGTAACATGTCCTCCATGCTCCTTTTTTTAAAAACTGTCAAAAGATTTGTTGCATTGAGTGAAGAAAGCTTTACAAGGTAGGTAACAAGGTAGCGATGCACACTGAGTAACATGTGCAACATGATGCTGTGTGCAGTGTTTGTGTTGCTCTCTGCAAGGACAGAGACAGATGTTAGTTTTACTCTCTTTTTTCCATTTGTGTTTCTGTCCACCTGAAAAGTGTGAGGAAGGCTTATATTTGGTTCTCCTCTGAACTCTTTCCCTTACAAAATGAAATATGGCAACATCTGATTACTTACATTCTGTGCTGTCTGTGATCTGACCACTAGGGGGAGCTGTAATACAAATAGAGAAAAGTACTTCCATCTTTCTGTTTAGTTATTAGCCATGCACACGCAGTTATTTATTTTTAATTTTTATGAAATGTAAATATATTTTTTCAAAATTATAAAACAAAAAAACCCTAACATGTTCTGAGTTACTTCTAATGAGCGCTCTGTTCTGAGTTATTAAAGCTACTCTGCAACATAATGATGCCAACTCAATTTATGTTGCAACGCAAAAATGTTCAACATAAATGTTTTGACACATTTCCCACCCATTTATATCTGCTTCAGTTTCAGAGTCTTCAGCCTCTAAGCTCTCTGACACGCCAATAGGACAGATTGACTTACTGTCATAAGTACCACTTGTACTTTTCCTTCCTTCTAACAGAGTTTGGGGATTTTGGGAATAAAAGTTTGTCACTGTAACACATAGATAAAGGACAGCAGTCTCTGCTTTGATTCATAAATATTTTATATGCAAAATAATGTTACAATTATATTCAACATATGTCACATTAGATTAATTATAACTATACTTTACATACATTTGATCAATCATGTTATTTCACAGTACATACAAGAAAAAAGATCACACTCCTAGTTTACTTTGTATACAATAAATACATGCTCCCCTTGTAGAATTTTTTACAATCTTACTTTTAAACATGGTGCAAGAGTTCAGTTGTTGCTACAGCTGTGGCCACTGTAAAATATACCCTTTTATGCACTCATATTAGATAAAACCATTCACTACTTTACCATACTATCTCTTGTAAATTCTAGCAGACCTATCCTTTTGATCTGAGAACCCACAGTGCAGCTAGTTTTGACAAAAGTGCAATAATAGGGAGATCTACAACTGCCACATCGGTCAGCAAACAACCCTGAATACCTACTGTAAGAAGAGCCAGTTGAACATATGGCTCGCTGAACACTTGTGTTCCTTGGCACGTAGTAAACAGACACTAGTGTGGATCAAACCATGTTTAGTTAACTAACAGCCACCAGCATTGTTTTTTTTTCAAGTGTATAGTGTCTCTGAAGCAGAACACCAATCAGGTATTCAGTAGAATATGGTGTAGTGACTGTGCATGCATGACAAGGCTGTGTTATCTGATTTGTTCTCATTCAACTTTAAACTGTAAAAACAGATGAAAAGAAAACTTCAGAGTTCCATATGGGTCCTCAGGAAAGATAATCAAACTATTAAACTCATGTAAACAGGTTGTAAACGTTTGGTTGTTTCTATTCAGAGCGAATTTACAGGTAAACAGTGTTCACAGTCACAGTATGAAAACTTGGCAAAAACAGAAGAGCAAAATTCAAAACCTGCATCTGAACTTTTTTCTACAGGCTACAGTCCAGAGTTCAGTAACATATTTTTTTTTAACTATCACAACTATAGTTCTTTGCTTCTTGAAAAATAAATCAATGCCTTTTTGGTGTGCAAGTTAGTGTTTTAGATAAAAGAACCATTCATTTATTAAGTATTGAGTACTGTTAGCTAGCTTCATTTGCCAGCTCCTTTAGCTAGCTCTACAAGGTAGCCCCTCTTTTTAAGGCGATGCAATTTGTGTCATATCTTTTCTCTTTTTTCAAGTCTTATACATTCAGTTTAGAAAACTATCACCAGCAGTTTAGTAGAAAAGAGCCTCACACATTTTGACACACTTCTTCTTGATTCAACACATAACAATATGCTATAGTGTTAACATGTGACAACTCCAGAAAGGTGGCACTTTTATAAACTCTTCATCGTGGTGCAGCCTACTTTAATGTTGGGATCCTGTCTACTCTGCTTCTAAAAGATGTAGGCTATACAAAACAGAGCTACCATTGATCCCTTAAAATTAATAACTAGTTGCGTTTTTTAAAATGTTCATGATTGGGAACAATTGTTGGATAGGACTCCATTTTAGCAGCCTCCTTTGGTGTCTTGCTTTAAGGCAGAATAAGAAGAATTTCATTCGCAAAGAAAGAAACAACAAAGACCTTGCTTTCAGCATGTATCTTTGTGTTTGGCTGTGATGAGAAAGTTTCTTGGTGTCAACCTTTTTGCAGGTTGAGTGAAGCCTGGGGCCATAATACAGTATAGTCTACAGGGTATGAAAACAGGACTCATCCGTTAAACCAAGGAGGATGGGCCAACTTTGAACGTACTGTTTATAAACCGCTGCTGACAAATTCTACTTATTCTGTCTTTGCATTTTTCACAAAGATTTGGACTCATACTTAGCGTAGAGCTTGGTATTGTAATGACCTTATGTGATATCCTATGCCTGTTTTTGGGAGACAATGTTGGGTAGTCAAGATAACAGTGATAAGAACAGGGTGCCAGACAGCCTAGTGGTCATGTCCTGTGCCCCATGTACAGAGGCTATTCTCGTTGCAGCGGCCGTGGGTTTGAATTTCCTGTCTCTCTTCAGCTGACACACAAAATCCAATCAATAAAGTCAATTTGTTAAAACGTTGTGGCATTCGGTTGCCCTGGCAGACAACTAGTGTCGTAATTTTAATTTGCAAAATAATCAGTCAGGATATGTAGAAAATAAATACAAATAAGATCTGGACTAACCATTTTTAACCACACAAATCTGTGATTACTACCCATTTGTCATTGATAGTTATGATATTAGTTATTTTTATGGGTAGATGTTTTCTTTTTCAGTGTTTTATCCTTTTAATATATTTCTAACCAAGCTGTAACTTGTTGCTTGGATGTCCTTCATGTTTAAACTTATCAGTCAGAAGCTTTAATGATCTGTGTTTACTGAGGATAGAGATGACAGCGCTCGTAAACAACAAACAAAGAAGTGAGAAACTTGTAGCTCTCATTCCAAACTCTGACCATGATCCATGTCAGTTTTGATTTCCATATTTCAAACAGTCTCTGATCTGACGTCAGTTGTCTCGACTCATCTGCCCTCCTCAACAGGACGGGTTTCAGATTTCAGCTTGAAAAACTCCTTGGCCACCTCGTCAGCAGGTCTTTGGGACAGGATACGCATCACTGTCAGGCCTGTCTCATCCGTCTGAATGCGTGGCCCGATTGGACACCAGCACACGCAGCTCTTTCTGTCTGCCACGTCACGTAGCTGAATCACCGCCATGCCCACCACCCGGTCCGCCCGGCCAAAACAGTAATCCTTCACAGTCACCTGGAGTTCGTAGCAGTCTGGAGACTCTTTACCCAGGACACTACAGAGCACAAGAAGAGGTTAAAAACAGAAACAAATCCAGCACATTTAAGCTGTTATTTGCTTGTTTGTTGGAACTCACAACTGGAAAGCCTCATTGAACTTTGCCGTCCAGCTGTTGTTCTTGGATTTTGTGGTGAACTTTCTCTTCTTGTCAGCCAGGAAGGGGCCGACCATGGAGACCTCGACGAACGGCCGGAACATCCCGGATGTCTGCCACTTCATGTCGTTCACAGCAATCACTAAATGGAGTGAGATAGAGCACAGGAAATAAGATACAATGTTGATGAAGATGTCAGGGATGTATATGTATTGTATCACAATTACCATCATTTCAATCAATCATCAATTACTAATATTTCTTTTGCAGTGTGCTTTTTTTAAATTTCTTTTATTTGCTTCCATTTAATATTTTCCATAAAAGTATTTTTTTTTCTCAGTTTGGATACAGAATAAGAACTGAATATAACTTAACTCACAGAAACCTTACAGATTCTAGGACATCATATAGATGCCTTCATTATTCATTGTATTTGATAAATCTACAAAGGAGGAATCATGAATACCATATAAAGCATACCTTGTTACTATAGTTGTGAAAGAGTTGCTTAAGAGGTTTGTAAACAGAAGTCTAGAGTATGTAACTGCCGCGTCCTGAAGTATTTCCAATTTAAACAAGATTGAACCAATCTCCAAAGACAGAAGGCGGGACATTACATTGGGTTGAATTTGATTGGATCTTTAGCTTTAACAAAGCTTTTTAATTAGTCAAGAATGAGTTAGCATGCCTCAGTGCAGGATTAGTCATCAGACTTTTGAAACGTTTCACAGGAAGAGAAAATACAGTTATTTGAGGTAAAAATACTCTGATAATACTTTATTAAAATGTATTTGGCAGATAATGGTAAATATATTAAGATTTAACACTGGATTAAAACCAGGAAAATACATTTCTAATTTCATGGGGACTTTAAGTGTTTTTTTAATCTTAAAAATGGATCCACGAGATGTGATTGTTTTTAGTTTTTTTTGTCTTGTTCTTTGTTTTGTTGTTGCTTTTGTTTTTTATGTCAGATAAAGTCTTCCCAAACCAACAATCAATTCTTTTTTTTAAAGTAGTTTGAGCAGAATGGTACTTTAAAAGCTCCATCAAAAGTCTGTGTCCGGGATTATTGACAATTATTTTAAGGTGAGCACTTAAGTTTGTAAATAAAACATCAACATTGAATTCTAAATGATTCTTTATGTTTGAAACTCACCTCTGACAGTGACTTTGCGTTCTTTACCGAGCAGCATGTCGATCTGTAGAATAGCCTCTCCTATGGGCTTCTCGATCCCCGAGCCTGCACAACACAACCATCACATCCCACATTAACATGATTAACAACATCTTTAAAGCTAACTCTCTTGTTTGTCTTTAAATCTTATCTTCTTTTTTTAAAAGGCTGCTGCAGTGACACACACTCTCTTATCTTACAGCTTCGCTTTGGGCAAACTTGTTACAACTTCCTTTTAGAACTTAGGAGAATGAGGATTGTTCCAATAGATCATATCATTTAAGAAACACCAGCTTATCTTTTACTTCTACCGTTTTTGATATCAGCATAATTTAAAAATGCTCCCCTCACACAGCATGAGGTCTGGACTCTGCTGCAACAGAGATGACGAGGAAATTATGCAAATGTTTGAAAGCCCGAATGAGGCAATGTTCAAGAAAGAAAATGATTGTGTTCTAAACAGTTTTCATTTAAAAAGAAATATGCAGAATAAAACTTACACAGTTTAATGTTTTGTTAAAAGAGAAAAGGCACCTCCTCTGAGCCTGTTGACATCCTAGCTGGTCTTCTTAAGGCCTATTTTCACTAAAAAGAACCCTCTATAATCTCAATGTTCTCTTGTTGAACCTGATAACTTGTTTGGACTCACCTCTGTCAGGTCGAATCTTCTCATTGCCGGTAATTCTTATGCCCATCCCGTCGTGCACTGAGACAAAGAGAACAGCAAAGAGCATTGAGGTTTGGATAAACTTCAGTTTTTCAACCTCAAGAGGAACATTAAACCTTAAAAGCCTATAAACTGTATGTGTGTGCGTGCGTGCGTGTGTGTGTGTGTGTGTGTGTGTGTGTGCGTGCGTGTGTGTGTGTGTGTGTGTGTCTTGGATCACCTTGTGAGTGCTGTGTGGTGACAAAGGTCTTGATCAGAGCATCAGTGCTCTGAGAGTAGAGAGAGAGAGCATATCGCAGTGAAGCTAGTTCAGGACTTTTCTCCACAAACGCTTTCTTCAGCCCGTTTCCTCCTGCATGAAAGTATTGCTGAAAGAGAAGAGAGTGGTGAGGTGAAACTGAGAAATTAAAAATGATTGATTTTATACATTTTGTGTCCCAAGTTTTGGGTTGATTTGGCTAATGTTCAATTTTTTGGCAGGTACCAGACATGATAAACTAAACTATTTAAAAAGGCCTTTCTTCTTCTTCTTTTCAAAGGACAAAGAATCTGATGATCGTCTCAAAATTGTATCTGCTTGATCAGTGATTGTTCAGCTCCACACCTACCTTGATGGTCTCCAGCCCTGCATCGATGATGATACACTGTTTGGGCGTCAACGTTTTGGCTTCACCTCCTCCCTACAGAAACAACAACTCACAGTTAGAGACACTTTCATTTCAATAATTTCACTACAGTAATCCATAAAAACAGAAACCTCTTTGAAATAATGATTCTTAGCCATTGTTATAAAGCAACATTTTGATATTCAGAGTTGTGCTCACTCCGCTACAATTGTTGGAGAACAACCACTTAATAGTATGTAAACATCTAACAGACCATTGATCCCTCATCAGGACATCTACTCTGATATTTTTTATCGATGGGTAACACAAACACTGAATAGTAAAAGACAATTAAGAAACAGTCTCTGTTTGAGACTAAGTGCAGGAACAGCTTAGAGAGGGTAAAACATTTTACTTTAAAAAATGAATTTTACCCAGCCAATCTGAAACAGCTGGAAACTTTAGACACCCTTCTGCAGTCACAAAATACAACTTGAGCTATTTCAACTTACACTTTCCGTTTGCTTTAACCACACACACGTTGATGTGTCGAAATACACATTTTGTAACTGTGTTCTTTAGGAAGTGTTTCAAGCCTTTTCTCTGGTTTCAATATCTAACAAGATGGTCCAGAGCAGAAAAACCATGGCTTTATATTAGTCTCTGAAAACATAAAGATTAGCTGTGCTACTTTCCGCTGCTTTAGGGGCGGCTGTGGATCAGTGATAGAGTTGGTCGTCTCTCAACCAGAAAATCTGGGGTTTGAGCCCCAGCTCCTGCAACCGCTGTGTAAGACACACTTACACACGCTTGCTCCAGCTGATGCGTCAGCGGCGTTTGAATGTATCTGAACGGGATTAGTTAACATAGCAGACTCTGCCATCAGTGTTTGAATGTGGTGTGTCTGGGTAGCTGTGACCTGCAGCACTATACAAGCTCAAGTCCATTCATCATTTCTCTACAGCTTGTGTGTGTTACCTTTAAATTAGAAAGTCCTTTAGCTGCTGTGAGGAGTTGGGCTCCCTGCAGAGAGAGGAAGAGGGAAAGAAGTGGATAATGTATGATTATATAAAGCGTTTTATATTTTCAAAATTTTTCATAAACATTTATCCGTACAAAAGACTGAATGCAGACATTCAACAAGCTTAACTTATTCATTCAGGATATCAAACTTATGTAGAGATCATTTCAACACTGTGCAGAAACACACCTGCTGATATCCACCACTAGGAAGCGGCATAGCACAGCTCTACTAAAGAACCTTGCATTTTTTCATTTTTTCATTAATTCTCCTCTCATAATAATAACTCTCATAATAATAACCTAAAGCAACAGTGTGTATAAGATGCTCCAATCTCTGACAAAGTGTTTGCTGTTGCTTTGTATTATTGGTCATGTTTTCACCATATTTGAGGACAAAGAGTAAGAGAGTTGAATTTGAGGAGTTTTAAAAAAAAAACTGTCAACAATAAGTCTGACATGGTTTGAGGCATGAATGGCTGAATTGGTGAAAACGGGCTGTAGTTTTTTTTTGGGGGGGGTTAAGACTTGGTGTAGTTTCTGATTGTAAGGGTAAGTCTACTACTGACCAGGCTGTCGTTGCTCTGAGGCAGGACGATGGTCTTCTCCAGGCTGCTCAGGACGGTCTTCCACAGATCCTTCAGGATCCTCTTCAGCACTGACTTCTCACAGACGTCAGCAAAGATACTGAGGCTGGATCACACATAAACACCATCAATGTAAGAACATGTTCTGCCCAACAGATTTCATTGCAACATGGTGACAGCCAAGTGACAGCCGGGTCTCTAACTCCCTCCGTTATACTCTTACCAATTCATATTGTGAGTTTTTATAATGTACCTACTCTTGTAGGTTTTATCCTTCCAACTAAACATATTTTTAAAGGGAGGCAAATGTTAGCCAGTCTCTTCATTTAAAACAGTAAAGAGTAATGACACTGTTTCCAACACAAACATCTGTTTCTGTACATTCTGAATCTGCAGTGGCCTGAAATGTTCAAACAACAAAAGAAACATCGTTTTTAAATCCCTGCACTGTGCTGTCTTTACAGTTGTCAATAATAAGCTTAATAATGAAGGACAGTCAGTGCATTTAGTGCAACTTTTGACTTGGAATGAATAATTTTATTTCCTCTAAAATTGTCTCTTGTTTTTTTTTTAAACACAAAATACAAATTGTTATTTTGAAAAATACTACGGCACTTGGATTAACAATCAATAAAAAACGATGATGTGTAACTTGAAGAAGAATGAAGGAACACTGTAACATATAGTTTGCTAAAATAAAATGATTTAGTTTAGGTAATGTTTCAACACGAAGTAAACTAAATTCTGACAACAGGTACAAAAAAACTTGTTTTTAAATCCATCTGTGAAAGATTGTTAGATTAAAAGTTTGACCTGCTCATTCAGTCATCAGGCAGCAGTTAACAACGGGAGCCATTGTATTTGTGTGTGTGTGTGTGTGAGTGTGTGTGTGTGTGTGTGTGTGTGTGTGTGTGTGTGTGTGTGTCATGCTATGACTTACTTCCCGTCCAGAAACTCCATGAGGGGCCTCAGCATGTTGTCAGCGTCTGCCTCTGCTGTGTTGTGGTTGGGGGGTCCTTTGATCTGGTAGAGGATCTCAGCCATCTGACGCATGCAGCCGGTGATACGAGTCTGGAAACTGAAGGGAGAGAAAAACGGAGAGAGAGAAAACTTAGAGAGGGAAACTTTCACAAAGCCGGAGAGACCTTCCTCCTCAGTCAACATCTGTGTGATGTGTTTGTGTGTGTTACCTCTTTGCAAATATGGCACTGAAGTTGTCCAGGACAGTGTTGAGCTTCACCTGCAGGTCGTTGAGGATGTCAGCTGCCTCTGTGTCCAGCTGAAACACACATAGATGAAGAGGAGGAGAAAGAGAATAACAGGTTATTTAAAGTCTTTACAGTTTGTGATAATCTTAAAGGTCAGCTGGACACAACTCAGCCCTGTCTCATGTCTGCTGCAGGAGCAAAGTCCAGGTCATTGGTTCTTCTGAAGCCAGATTAAGTAACCAAATATCATCTTGTTATGTGTTTTGTATCTCCCTTTTTCTCTCTGCATTAAGGAAACTTCACATATGTTTAAGTTATTATAACTAATTACCTTTTCAGGCAAGGACAGGTTAGCCAGTGCACCCTCCTTTTTCAGATATTTTGTCTCCAGCTAATTCCTTGTCAAATTGAATTCAAATAATCTGGCCATCACCTAAACCAGACTATTTTCATTGGTGACTGACATTTTATTATGGCAGTTTAAGCAGAGGGATTTTGTAGAGTCAAACTAGTTATGACAAATATGTTTAATTCAACATTTTGTTGATTTAAAACAACAACCTACTGATGGTCTAAGATTTAAAAGGTGCATTGTTGGCACATCTTAATTCTCAACTTCACAAGTCCGACATGAAATGTGTATTTTCTGCCCACTGGAACTCAAACACTTCTGTGAAAAAAACTAGCCCAAGTTTATCAAAGACAAAGAAAGTGTTCCTTTATTTATTCTAAAAAAAAACTTTGGTGAACAAATGAAAGATATGAGAAATTAGCATGATGCCAAATGTGACTTATTAAATACATGAATGCACATGTAGGAGTTATGCAGGGTCAACAAAAAGCAAGGCAGAGATCCTGACTGTGTTTAAACACAAAACTGCACGACAGAGAATAAAATCCGACTGTCAAGAGGGTCAGTTAAGTAATAATCTATTGTATAAAAAGTTGTTTTTCAGTGCAATAAATGATACAGTATTCCTGATAAATTACTTGAGAAATTGCTGCATCTTTTGTTCCTTTTTAATTGCTACATTTTTTCCAAAACAAGTAGCCCTCCACAAAGGAATACTGTTAACCATGTATCACATTAGCAGCTGTAGCTTTAGCAAAACAGAGCATGAGCAGATGGTTTGTAGAATAGATGGCATTTATCCTTGTTTATTGAAAGCGGATGCACCAATGCATGTTTAATAAATACCAACACGCCTTGCTTTGATATGAGTCCCAACTGTTAAATGATATCAGAGCATGGAACTGCACCCAGCCTTCAACACATGGAGGAGCATTTCAAGATCAAACACCACTCTTACTAAGAGTACCTCAATGAAATGTTTTTTTTTAAACTGCACACTTTGAAAAGAGTGATTGTACTACCAGTGAGCAGAAAACAGCAAAACGCAAAGAGGAATTACTTTATTTAAAAGCCTCTTATTGTACTGTGAGCTGGAAACTGTTCAACAAACTCACAGTGAAAAACCAGAATCAACATCAACATTTTGCTAGTTTGAACTCAGCGCATTACAGTATGGGATGTATTGAGCAGAACTGAGCACACAGTTTGCAGCAGACAAAGGCATACAAGTGTTTTGAATGTAGGTTAAATATGCAATCAATATACTGTGCCTATAGATTATTTTGAGAGGAGGATTACATTTCAAGTGTGCAGAAGAAGAGAAAGAGTGTGTTACACCACACTCATGTCGAGAATGCAGTGAGTGTATGAGTCAGAGATAAAGTTACTCACACTACAGGCATATTTAGTGTGTAATGATTCTGCTGGATGTTGAATGTATATCCTGACAGCTGACTCAAATCTAAAATGGCAAAGGTTGAGACTATAAAAGCTTTCATGAGATGAGAAAGGTTGAAGATAAAATTGGGCAAACGGATGACAAGCTTTTCCCATTTCATCTTCAAACCCTTTCAACAGCGTCTAAAAAGAGGGCTTCATGCAAAAAAAAAAAGCACAACATTTCCGGAAAAACCAACTTCTCAATAACATGTTTCTCCATTTAGTGTGACTATTTGGCAGCAGGGGGGTTTTCACAGTGGTTGATGCTGGAAGGAGAAAGAAGGAGGAAGCTGCCGAAGAAATTATCCCAAATTAGCTTCAACACAGAGGATGTTGAGGATATTTTTTCATCACTTTAATTACCCCCCCTCCCCCCATTCAATATTTTAGTGAGATCTGTGACAAATGATTCCAAACCAAGGATCCTGATGCAAACTCCTTTTTACAAACCACTGTACTGATTATGGTTATTTTAGATGTTATTAAGTTATTATGGTCTTTATTTTAGCATCTGCGTAACAGAAAGCAACCACGAAGCAAAGTTGTTTTTCTTTGGGCTAATACAGGATTTTATTTGGATGGAACTGCCAGATATGATCTATGGTTCTTACCATTTTACCTCCAGCTTACTACTGTAGTTGTTTAAGCAAAGCATAGGAGATACAGCTGTCAGAAAATGACACTTTTACACACTTAAGATTACAAGTCAGGGCTAACATGAACCCTTTTTTTCCACTTAGCTTCTTGTAGATAAGCTCTGAATGTTCTGACCTTATGACTTCATATGGTTATCAAAATCATTCAATGGTCCATTTTTTTCTGCTAATGTAAAGACACTAAATCTGCAAAAATCCCTCTTTCTGTGGGTGTGCAGTCTTAAAGCAGCCCGTTATCCCCTCATCAATAAAGTGTAAAATATAGGCTGAAGCTCATTAGTATGCTGGACCTCATGTATGCTAAACGTGTTACATCAGTTAAGTGGTTAGTGGATCACAAGACGAGGCGTCCCAAAGTGTCTCTCTAGAATAAATGTGTAAGTGTGTTATTAGATAGAGGACAGAGGGCAAACTGCCAGAACATATCATTGGAGTAAAAGAGGGCCCTGACCTTAACGTGACAGCATTTCAGTCTCTGGAATTGAATGTGTGTGTGGGGGGGGGGGGAAGAAGTTACAGAGAGTGAAGGTAAGATTGCACGATCCACCCTGCTCCTTTTTGGTCTGAACCCAAAAAATGAAAATGTACAGCGGAGTTTTTGTGTTTATGTGAAGTGTCTGACATCTTTATGGGTGTTTGAAGGCGAGTGTGCACATCACTGTAAGAGGTGTCCTTGAGAGGAGAGTGGAAATACAGAGAGAGGAACCAACAGCAGTGATAGTATAGATACAATGAGTCACACACAAAAATGCTTTAGATAATACATTCAGAGCTGAATATTTTGTTTTTGGCATTTAAACCATTAAATAGCTTTAACCTTCAGCATTTTTAATTAAAATGTCTCTTTCACTATTAATGAGAAGACCTTTTAGTTTAGTATTTATGTCTCTGAATTCACCACAGAGAAAAGTCCTGAATGTCTTTTTTGATGATTTCGATGAATTGAATTGCATTGCTTTATTTATTTAGATATCCACTAGATAGCACAACAATAATTTGCAGGAGATATTTTATTTATTATATGACAACCTGTCCCAGAAGCAGTTGGCTCTGGTGTGGCGACACACTCTCAATATTTATTGTCTGCCCTGTGACTTCAGAGTTTTTATTAAAAAGTTTACATCTAATACTGGAATGATATCTACACTCATGTGCAGACATCTGTTCTTAGCGCTTATACGGCCTCTACATCACAAATGTGCAATGAATATCCACAAACTCTTTCCTCAACTGCGTCAAGGGAAATCACTGAGTTATGCAGTGTCGAGCATTTTCAATCCTATTTTTTACCTCTTGAAGAGCAGAATAGTGTCGCTATTTTGCTAGTGCAGTGAATATACTTCACTCCATATCTGATTTAAACAGACTATACTCTCCTATAAAGAGCTTGCAGGCGTAGGTAAGGGTCATATTAAACTTGCACTCTGAAGGTGAGAAAGGACCATGTCACTTTGGTAAAAGAAAGAATTTGAAGAACCAGAGGACACCCTTAAACAAACCAGCATGTACACACACTCCTCACTTCAGTCACAGTCTTAAATCAAAAGTGTCCTCTACAGGTAATAAATGCCTTATCACTTTCTAAAACCCTACTGTACCTTCTTTGTGGCAGCTGTGGCTTCAGTCTTCACGGAGAGACAGAAAAGAAGGGAAAAAAAGACACAAAAATAAAAAGTCACACAAGCAGGACCAAGACTGCACACACAGGGCTGTACATGAAGGGACAGAACAGGTATAAATAGCATCAGGCTTTACTTTAGGTTACTTTAGGTATATTGACTTGTGGATTGGGTAAAGGTGAGTGGGTGATTCTAATAACATATTTTTTGTTTGTTTTATTGACTCTGGTTTATACTGAGATGCTTTAAAACAAATAGTTAAAGCTATATCACCTGTAGAAGTGTCAAAAGTATTCTGAAAGATGGTTCCGTATTTTTTGATAGCTCATCCAGTGAGAGCAGATAATTGGCTGGCAAAAACGTATGAATGTCCCCATGATTCTTGTGATATAATTGCTTTTACTTATTCATACACAACTATCCTGTTCATCAATTCTTACATTCTTCTTATAATGTGTACGTGGAAGTATTGAGTGGCCTGTTCATTTTGGACTACATGATTAGTGAGAGCAAAATAATCCCTTGCTGAGTTTGCACACACACACAACCTCACAACCACCCACCCACCCACACACACCCACACACACCACACACACACACACACACACACCACACACACACACACACACACACACACACACACACACACACACACACACACACACACACACACACACACACACACACACAGTTGTCATACTGCACGTAAATAATTGTGGTACAACCATTTTCAAATCTTCTCAGTCATCCATAATCTATTGTTCATGATGATCAACTGCACACAAAAGTAGTAGCTGTCTTGAAACAAATATAAAAGTACAGTGTAAAAATATTTCCCTTGCTGTTTTTTGCAACTCTACAAAAATCCTTTAACTTTGCTTAGTAGCACACATGTATAAATCCAGAAAATGTCACATAACTAAAAATAATTTAGCAAACATTGGGACTGACTCTTTGACTGATGTGCAATTAATCAATCATACATTGAATATACACACAGTTAC